TGGGAGATTTGCAGTAAGGCGCTAATTGACAGGACTATATAAAAAGTGGTGAGAGGCCCAAGCTACAGAGGGATCCAAGTCACATCGCAAAGCAATCCCACGACTGGAATCCTCGAGGCAAAAGGAAACATCCACACAAAACACATCCGGCAACGAACCATCATTACAGAGGCGACTGAGGCTGGAATCACATGGAGTGAAATTAAGAGAGCTGTCCAGGACCGATCAAACTGTTTTTCTAAGTTGGATGGCCTCGGCACCTGATGGCACCTGGGGGACATATGACTTAAGTCAGGGAATTAGGGATAATCAAAGAAACAAATGTAATTTTAAGCCAAGACCCAAAAGATTATATAAATATATCGTTTTAGTGAACGTGTAACAGAAAGCAGCAGTTATTATTTTATTGTAGCAAAGTAGTTCTGAATTTATCAATCGCCAATATTATTTAACGCAGTAAAAGAGGAAATAAAACAAAAATTGGTTTTATTGGAAAAATATTTATTGATCCTTAATTACTAGTAACAAATACTTAATGGCAGTAAACACTTACAAACTTTTGGTCAACCTCACTCATGTTGAAACCTCATCTATTTTATTTTTACCACGTTAAACATATGTTTAATTTAACGAATTAAACATTTTTTAATATCTAGATAATACTTTTTAATAGTACTAATATTCCAGTGTCTACAGATGACGGAGGCAACAAAGTTACTATCGCTAGCTTGCCTATAACCTTATAAAATATCTATGGCTTTGTATGAGACTATATTTGCTTAAGTCTAACACCCATCTCTTTAATTTTAATAGATCAATTAAAATTGACGTCATCAAACCACTTCACATCCAATGAAGGATTCCTTAGCTCTACATCGTCTTAAAATAATGCTACGAACCTACACGTAATGTATATGACTTTGTTTATGTATGTTTGTTTATGTTTGAAGTATTTGCTCTTTTAGAGAAATACGGCGAATCGTATAGCTAAAATTGGTCGATATCTATCACCCGCCATGGTACTCTGAAGCTCATAATTTGAAATGGACGCAGCATGGAAGGTGGTGGACCTATTCGAGGCCTAATCAGTATCTCCTACATCCTATAAGGCCGGTGATAGCAGACATTTTCTCTTGAATCGTAGAGTTTTTGACGTTATACTTCTTTAGGCACGTTATGAAAAATTTATGAGAGTAAAATTTTACGATGCGCGCGCACTGTGACACAAAATTAACAGAATGAAGTTGCCCACGGAAGATGCTACGGCATTGGACATAATTTAAAAACAACATTCCAATAACAATAGAATTTATGTTACACTTAATGTAAGAGAATAATAATAAATATTTATTTATTTATTTAATTTATCAAATGTAAACAGAACTTTATTGACTATAATGACTCCTTTTCCAGTATTTGATTATTTAATTGTTATTAATTATTTGCATGCAATCAAAAACTATTTTTAATAATGGCAAAGAAGTATAACTTCTTACGCGCGTACATAAGTACACGCACCCTTTGTTTCAGTTTGCGACAGCAGCGCTATTGAAAGAACTACATCGAAACTGGTATTAAAACTCAAAGTAGATCGGTAATTGAAGTAACAGAGTACCTGGGCCGGTAGACGCGGCTTAGATATATAATTAGTATATTTTGCTTTGTTAATTAAAGACGAGCTGACCTATTTTAGTATGCAATTCTAATAATTATTATCAATTTGTCTCATTCGTGTACATTATATTTGCATCAAAGTTTAAGTAATATCTCCGAGAACTGTCCTCTCTAAGTCAAAGCCTTAGAATGGGTTCACACGGCATTGTCCTGCACGTTTTCTTTTATTCGTTTTTTTAACGTACTTTCACCCGGGTGTTCACATGGTAGATTTTCATTCGTGTAAAATACGAATAGCCGCAGTCTTCACACAGTTGTCACAGTGAGCGAGAACGAGACAGGGCTATATTATGAGCAACTTTAAACCGAATTTACGTTAAAGTTCATTCGATTTGCTTGACAAGTCCGTTGAGTATACGTTTGAACGTATAAACGGTGTACGATATTTTGCAGTACAAACGCCGTGTGAATGGGTCTATGTACAATACATGTGCCACTATTTATTCGTTAAGACGTATACTGCAAAAAAACGTGCAGGATAATGCCGTGTGAACCTGGCCTTTAGAGTGTAGCGGCTAGAGCAGTGTTTCACAACGTGGGCCCCACGCCCCACGGGGGACATTTTGAGGGGAGGTTCGTTTCTATTACATTTTTTTTTAATTTTTGGAATTAGAATTTCATTTTTCATTATGTTTTGAGTATTTACGTAGTGTTTCGTTAACAATTTCTTAGTAAATTCTTACAACCTATCATTTAAGTTGTGAACAATTATTTTTTTAAATAATTAATTTATATATGTTACATAAGAATTTAAGAAAGGCTAAGGGGCATGGCACAAAAAAGGTTGAGCTGGGCTAGAGCATGTCACTTTCATCCCTGGTTTGAACCTCGGCTGTGCACAAATAGACTTTCTATATGCGCATTTAACACTCGCTCGTAAACAAAGATCGTTTAGTTTCGAGACAGTTTTGTCTAAAATCTAATGTCACGAAACAGATAACAATATCTGAGGCCTAGACCCGAGTGAAACACTGGTTTTGTTTTTCAATATTTATGCTATAGACTATAGACATTACGCACCAAATATGAAAACATTATATAGGGTGTCTCAGTAAGAGTGCACTTTTTAAAACTGTAATATTTTTGTTTTCATGCAAGTGGCAACTCTGAAATTTTACAGCTGTCACCTCTGTTTATTCCGATTATTAAAAATGAAGCGCGTTTTGAAAGAACAACTCGTTATAATTGTGAAAACTCATTACAAAAATGGGAACCGCTGAAACCGCTCGCAAACTTCACCAAATTTTCATGTGTCAACCATTCGAAGAGTGGTCAAAAAATTTAAGAAACTGGGTCAATTATGGATAGTAAGAACCCTTTGCGTCAACGTTCCGGTCGGTCTCTTAAAAACATTGCTGCTGTACACGAGAGTGTCGCCGAATACCCGAAAACATCAATTCGACATCGTTCTCAACAACTTCAAATTTCACGAAGCACTACGCAGCAAATGTTGGCTAAAGACCTCCATCTTCATGCGTACAAGATTCAGTTAACTCAGGAGCTCAAACCAGCAGACCAAGGAAAGCACCGGCAATTTGCTCAATGAGTAATGGAGCAAAGTGAAGTCGATGCCAATTTTTCGAAAAAAGTCCTCGATGAACAGAACACATTATCTCACAAAATTCTGATGTCATCTGGCCACCAAGATCGTGCGATTTATCGCCGTGTGATTCTTTCTTTGGGGTTTTGTCAAATCTCGAGTTTATGCGAATAAACCCGAAACCATTCATGACCTCAAATCGGAAATCCAACGCGTCATCGCTGAGATACAGCCACATCTCTTTGCAAAAGTCATGGAAAATTTCATGAAAAGTGTAATGGCCTGTCATCGGAGCCGTGGAGGTTATTTGCCGGATATTTTATTCCATACTTAATCGAAATATGTGATCTTTACAATGCAATAAAAATATCAGAACTCTGTCATAAAATACTTGTCTTTATTTAAATATGAAAAAGTGCACTCTTACTGAGACACCCGTTAGCTGATTTTATTCGCAATTCGACACGAGATTAGATATATGTTATACAACTTAAATTAAATTGAGGTTAACATTAAAACCTAATAACAATATAACAGAGTAAACACATATGAAAGGAATATCGTTATCTTACAAATAAGCAAAACAATTTTATAAGTTTTAAAGAATAAAGTCAAAATCAAATACCCATTGTAAAACTGAAATAATACACATTGATGTTCAATATACATTAAAAAAAATAAGTAACTGACGACTATATAAGAGTCTTAACAGTTCAGAACATAAAGATATTATCCCAGCTTTGAGTTATCATAACCACATAATGTGAATAAGTTCGCGGAACAATTTTGTTTGTAATCATAGATAATACCTACCCTACCTTTGAAAAATCATACTTGGTCAATTTAAAAGTAAGTAAAAAAATATAAGATATAACTTTATAAAGTTAACACATTAAACACAATTCAATAGGGCATGGCCCATTTTATGAATAGATTTGGTTTGAGAGTAACATAAATTTCGGGTGTATTGTACAGACACTTCACTACACTTAGTAGTTGTCTTGTAGATAGACCAGTAGTTCTGGAACAGCAACTAAGAAATTCAACTCACGCTTGGCAGACAAGAAAACGAAAAACATGACAGTGAAACGATGTTTGACTAAATAGTCTCCGGCGTTTAAAAGTACAAAATTTAATATCAAATTCATAGTAATTCTAGAATAAGATTATATTGATATAATCTAAAGAATACGAAATATTTCGGAATGAAAACCCAAACCTGGGTCCACCTATATCTGTTTTATAAGAGAGCGATATTTGTACTTTAAAATTACCCTGAAGCTTACTTACATTTTAATTGTTAAAATATTCATACTAACTCAAGATAATACAGACACACACAGACGTTAATAAAACTTTGTATTTGCGTATACAATAGTCACGTTAAGTTTTTATTTATCCCTTAACATAAGAAAAAAACAAACCAAATGTTTAATGTCAACTATAACCAGAGACCTCTGCCCCTAATTTCCAATAGCGATAGTGGTCTCAGAGCTACGGATTGAGAGAACATCGATACATACAACAACGTCGGAATCGCTATTGGATGTTACAGAGTACGGGCGCAGTTTATGTGCGTACTGACAATCGGACGGTCACTCACTCACTCACTCACTCACTTGTACATTACTACGAATATTTAAAAAAAAAGTATTCATATTCATTTGTAGTAATTTATGTTTATTTGTCCCAAAAATTTACCAAATTCGCTTATTACTGTGTTGTTATGCTAAGCCAGTTTAATTACGTACTGGAATTTTTCAGAATACTTACATATTTTTTTTATTTACAAAAAGAATAGTTTATCTGCGAGCGCTTCGCTGGTGTTCTTTCCGATGTTCTGGCCTACTAAATAGGCCAGTTTATGTGCGTACTGGCACGGTGCTGGCACTCTCACCGTGCCAGGCCAATTGTAGTACAAATGTGTCAATTTGTACGTAAGTCTTTGGCACTGATCCGGTGGCATTTTGCTATCGTCATTAACAACGACGTAGTGGGTGGGTGTGACCGTACCTTGGTTCACCTTTTGTGAGACTATTAGGAAGTCGTACCTGAAAGAGTTTTATCAATTACTGCTTGTCATGATATCTGATAGGTCTGTCTTTTTTTAAAAGAAAGAAAAACTTTATTATGCACAATATACAAGATATTTAGATAAAGTAAAGTGCACTGGCCCCCACACTAGGATTCCCTGTGATTCCCTTTTGACATGAAAACAGTATTTTAAAAATTATATTAATGATTTCTACACATTTATATTTAAACTATTTTTGTACAATAAGAATATTTTCAGTATCCGAATAGGACAGGTTAACAAGATATTGTTTGAGATGTTTAGTAAATGTATTTAATGTGATTTTTGAAATGTTCGTGATAATTTTGTTTTTAATGAAGTGGTTAAAGATGAAAGGGCCTCGGAAGGAGAAAAGCGCTGGGCGAAGAAAGTGCGAGTTTTGGGTTGCTTATATATGGGTTTGCGTTTTGTTTGATGCGGTGCGGTGGGTGTTTGTTTCCAAAAAAGTCTGCATATTGTCACAGTTAAAAAAAAATTTGAATTTAATTTTGAATGTGTTAGGGATTCTAATGAATTTTTATTTTCTAATTTTTGAATCGGTCCATTAATTTTTAGTTTAATTCCACAAATCTTTCGTCTTTGCAATGAATAGTTTCAATAAAGTTATTGTGGAGAAATTAGATTGGAAGATATGAACATCTCTTATATCATGTCACAATACAAATGTTAACAATTAACTTTTTATTTTTCGATAAATCTATCGAAGACAAACCGTAATTTTACTGCGCGGCAATTCAACTCGAACTGCAATTGCTTAAAATTTAATTGAATATGGCGGCAATAGTTAGGACAATTCACAATATTTAAAATTGTACGAGTTTATAACTAATTTGCACTCTTTATTGCACATACCTATTTAAAAGGTTTCAAATTAAAGAAGAAAATATCCAAAGAGTACTCACCAGTCCCTCCTAGTAATAGCGTGATCTACAACAGTCCCCGGAGCAGGATTTTCTAACTGTCCCGGACCGCACTTCAAAAATATTCGTGTATTTATACGCTTTTGTACGATCACGTACGTAATCTTTGGTTCGTATTGCATTTCCACTTCTTGGATACTAAGCCTCAACTGCGGTATTTCGTATGTTTGCACTTGCTTAAATTGACCATCGCCAACACCGTCCCTGTTATTCATAATTATTTACTAAACAGTTTATTAAAAATAAACAATTTTCAAATAAACAAAAAAGGGATTATATACACGAGAAGTTCGATTTCCTTATGTCCTTCAAAAATACGCGTTTAGGGAGCGTTCAATTATTACGTCACGCAATTTTTGGAGATTATTGACCCCCCCCCCATGTAACGCGCCGTAACGTTTTTCTGTACCCAATAGTAAAACGTTTCGTGATCACCCAGTGACTCTTTATACCTAAAAGTTACCATTATGTTGTGTTGAGTACTGGAAATAATATTAACAATAACGCGTAATTCAATCCGCGCCCCGCATCGTAACGTAAACCCCCCCCCAAAATTCGTTACGTAATACTTGAATGCTCCTTTAGAGAAAATATGAAACAAGTTAAGGCGTACTTATTATATAAATTTAAATACAATTATTAATAATAAACCAAAATAATGTGCTCTGGAGGCACTAAATTAACTATGATAATAGAAATACTAATGTCATACATTCAAATTGGCTTGACAATTGACACATTATAAATAGAGTACATTCCTTCTACTTTACAAAAACCGTATTGAAAAAGTCTTGACTTTTAATATATTTCCGCAATGTAACGCACTTATAAACCACAATATCTCAGAATAAAATTACACGTGACAGGTGACAATTTACAATGACATCTTAAGTGTTGCCATTTCATAGTTTTCCGCAATGTTGGAAGTTTTTTATATTATAGGTCATATAAACATACCTATACATAATTATTCTGTCTGGTAAAAATCCATTGGTAACCAGATAATGCCTCAAGGAATTGACGAGGCACGCCTTCAGGCAGTCTATTATCTCTTGGCCTTTCTCTTGGAAGACGGCTGTTGAATACCACTTCGTTAGACTTTGCGTGTATGACGCTACGAAACCTATAAAAAATGTTTAATATAATTTATTAAATTGTACTATACAAAGAAAAGTTCGTAAAAGTTACTTAATTTGTGGTAAACCAGAGACTAGAGAATAGAAAGACTAAATATTCTTCAATTGATTTGCGATTAATTATGAGATTTATATTATTGCCAAAATCTAACTTAGTCTTGAGCCCTGTCAAATATGCTCAACAGAAAAAGGGTTTGACGGCCCCTTAAGTTAGATTTATGTTTGATTGGCGTTCAATAATACGGGCCTAGTTTATATAGGTCTGTTATCTAATGCTGGCGGCTTCAACCATTTACACTTTGTGCTTGTGTAGTGTCTGTGAATATGCGCGAGGCGTGACGTGACACTGAATATGCATCATGAAAAGACTGTCCGTCTCTCTCGCGCTCGGTCAAGCTTATGAGTATAAATAATAGTTTAAAAAACTAAAAAACACGCTTTTAAAGCACATCAAACTAAAAAGTGAAAAATAATTCCTCATTTAGGCTGAAAATGGTAATGAACAAAAAATACTGGTATTATTGTGAAAAAGCGTGGGTTGCTCGATAGACGAAAAATATGGCACAGAGCGCCCAAAGCGTGTTTTTTAGTTCTTTTAAACTATTATTAATTTTTTATTTTTTAGTTAATTTTTTTTTTTCGGATTATTGCATTGTCATCGATCTTTGACAGGTGCGCAAAATTTGAATTAAATCTGTCCGTTTAAAGTGGGTCAAAATCGAGTCCGAAGGAGTCGGTTACATACATACATACATACATACATACATACATACAGGTGAAGCTAATATAAAGCGTGTAATAAAAGAGACAGTTATTGTTTTGCTTTTGCTACTGTTTATAAATACATGTTGATCTTTTTTCTCATTATTATTTTTTCTGTGATTGTCATTGTTTACTTATTTGGTTGGAGGTTAGAATACTTTGAAAAAAATGTCTTTTGAAATATATTCCGTTTAAACATTAACAGGACAATCTCGTGAAATAGTGTACAATGTTTTTAATTATTGTTAGCATCTTAACTCATCTCATCTTATCATAATTTTAATTCATCGTGAATGAATTGTACGATTTGACATTACATGCGACTGGTGTTTCTGAGAGGAGTATTGAAAGAATTGTTAGAGAAGTACAGAGTCGACTAAATATAGCTTGGCAAAAAAAGTCATATTTACTCGTATTAACATACTGTATAGTGAAATTGCATTAGTGTGAGTACTGTGAACGCGCCAGCTTTCGATAACTTGCCGATAAAAAAATGTTAAGCCAAGGGTTATAACGCCCCCAAATTTTTATACTTACTGCAAACACTTGGCCGTCGTCGCGTGGGATCGTGGTAGCTGTCCGTTCCGACCACCATCACAGACTTGATGGGAATATGGATGTGCCACAACGTCCCACCCAGCTTGCAGTTGATTTGCAATAGAATCTTCTGAGTAATCGAACGCACCTTTTGCTGGTTCATTATTGTCCGGGCGTTTATTACCTGAAAGTTTTTTATAAATCTATTTACCTAGGGTTCTATCCTTAAGGAGACTACTCCGTAACTAAATTCGAACATACATACAAAATTACAAAACAAAAATAATACAGATACCGGAAAATATCTTAAATATTAAACAAGGGAGTGGGGGAAAGTTTGCGCATCTGGAACACAAACGTCAACTGATTTAATTTACCAATCATGCGATCGACACGTCACTCTCCCACCGCCGCGCACCACCAAAGTGATACCTAAAAATCGCTACTGTACAGGCAAGGACATTTGTTCAAGATGTTTGCCGGTATCTGTAACTTGAATGCACCGTATACGTAACGGAACATAATGTTAGTTTCAGCCAATCAAAAATCGGCATGTGCACGCAACGATCTCTGATTGGTGTACGGATTGTTCTTAACCATATTCTTGAGTGTATATACAATATTAAAAACTGTACACAACTAAACCTATCGCTTAAGCATGCAAAGGGTTGAACCCTGCGTGTATTTACCAATAAATTATTATTTCAATGAGCGATTTAAAATATAATGAAGAAACTTGTCTAACTAACTCAAAAATCGAAAACGTGTATGCAATGTTCTTCCGTTTAGAGAGATTTTTTTAAGAAATTAAGGAAAATAATGGAATGTGAGTGTGTGCATCAGAACAGAACTATTTATTTATTTATTGAAGTGAAACTTCTTTATCGAGGTTGGAAAAACATTTAGTGTAACATTTTTTCGTTACGCGTCACATGTTTCGGTTACGCGCCATGTTGCTTTTTGAAGTCAAACTTCTTTATCAGCGTTGGAATGAAACTTCTTTATCGACGTATGGGAGAAATTTTGTAGCAAATCGTCACGTTTTTCAATGATAGTAATAATTCTATTACAATAAATGAAATTCTATAATAATCTTCGTAGTAATAATGTAAAATGAAATATTTGTATTCATGTCTATGATAATAAAAGCCTTTTGTTAAACTTTATCTAATTTAACGAATTTCTGTAAAGTTGCATATAGTAGATCATTTTTCGAAAAATAAGATCATAAGTTTCACTTCTTACGTGTATACACCTAGTACACGCACAATTTATTTACACTCGTTACATTTAAACAAAACAAATAACATAATACATAACAATTATAAGGAATGCAACGGGCGACTTATCACTAACAAGCGACGCTAGTAAGGGAAAAACTATGTATGTATGTAACTATCTATGTATATATCATAGAAAAAGTGCATAGCCAAATCTTATTTAAAAAATATTATAGAACCTTAAACTAAAATAATACAAAAAAAAATATTAATAAAACAAACTAGAAACTAAAAAGCTAATCTCAGGGATTCATGAATTAGAAGAATTAAACACAGAAGAATAAGAAATACAAGAAAGTCAAGATTGAGCAGGATATGGTTAAGAAATGTTAACTACTCTATAGTCTCGATTTTTAGAATAGAATAGAATTCTGACAGCTATCTTTTTTTTACATGTTAGAGATTACAAACCTTTTTGGGCACATTTTTTAATTTCAATACGAGTGTGAACATCTGTGTCTATACATACATTTATTATTATTTTATTTTTTTATGGCTCTGGCACGGTTTGTGCATTAGCCAGCGTCAAGTATAAGATTTTTATAATTCGTGCTTTTTGCCTTAGAAATTCGACCATGTCCTCCATGTACGGTTTTAGGCACTCGCCCGGTACCACACAACCCTCCCAAAGGCCGAGAACAAATTTAAATTAAATTAAAACTTGCCCTCGAACCGGGAATCGAACCCGGTGCCCCTCACCTAGCTGCCACTTAATAAGACCGCTAGGCTATGAGGCCCCCTACATTTTATTTGTTAATGAATTTATATATTTTATTAAGTGGTGCTCACATTAAAATTGGTTTTACGGCGAGTGATAATTGCGCCCCTTTTACACACAGTAAAAAAAGCACAAGTAAAGATAACATTTTTTTTTTTAAAAGGTTTACTTGGAATTAGTAGGCAGTGATGCCAGCTAAATAATAAAATAAATAAAGTTAATTCATATATATTGTTCGTGATAATTAAATATTTGTTATTTTTGTATTAGGTCACTTGAGTATGTAAATATTTAGATTTACCTTTTTGTAGGTAAAACATCAAAAATACATAGCATTTTTTTATTACTCTCAAATGGGTCAAATTTGTCCCTTTTCCGTGGAGAACTTTGTTAGTAGCAACACTTATGAAATGTCAGAATTCTACGGAATGAAAAATCAGTCTATAGTATAGGTCGGTTATCGAAAGCTGGCGGGTTCACAGTACTCACACTAATGCAATTTCACATACAGTATGTTTCAAAATATGATTTTTTTGCCATGCTATACATTTTAGTCCACTCATACACGACGGACAGTGTATTCATGATGTATTTATGATTGTATTTCAGTTTGACATCACGTCTCGCGCTTATTCACAGACACTACACAAGCACAAAGTGTAAATGTGTTGAAGCCGCCAGCTTTAGTTAACATACCTATATCTATCTATGTATTTCTTAAATAAATAAAGCATTACCTGTGAAGGTATCCCGGCATCAGAACAGCACACCCTCTTAATAGCCGAATAGCGATCATCGCGTGACGAAGGGCATATCACGACAATAATCTGCGGCCTTGTTTGTATGGCCTCTCTAAGACCCACAACAAATGAATCAGTTCGATCGTTCGGCAATCGCGTCAATTGCGGCTTTTCGATCGTTATACCCATTGGCTTACAGCAACGTTGGACTGTTTCAATGAAATTCTGGAAATTTTCAAGTCAAAAATGAAATGCTTTTTGGGCACGTCTTCTTTGACGACTTGTATCGTACTAATACGTTCCTTTATTTAACGTATACTTGTCCGTAAAATAAGTGACGTCTTATTTAATGTACGTAGTCGGTACAGTCGTCGACATATTTATGCAAATTTAGAATATAATTTAAAAATGTGAAAAACTAATTAAATTAGATAGATATATATATTATAAACGAAGACGAATAGACGAAGAATTAATTATTTAATTTAAAAAATATATATTTTTTAAATATTATTTGTGAAAAATACAATACAATACAATCTTAGCCCCCGTTGTACTCCTCTAACAAAGCAAGTATTGAACTGATAAAAAGACTCGTCTTCAATCATTTTTATAAATCAAATGAAAAAATTTAATTTAAATTAATGCTTTTTTAAATCAGTTTCAGTTCAGATTACATTTGTGATTTAATTGAAAAAAGCAAAAAAAATATCATAATAATTTTTAGTTACAAACTAAATGGCTTTTAGAAAAAGTCGGGTAGCCTTCAAAAAATAATTAAGATCTATTCGACGTAATTTTTTTTATATGAAGCAAAATATTAAACAATATGAAAGTTACCATAGTCGTCTGTTTGTCCCGATCAGTGAACAGCACAGCCCACTTGTGTATATCCACAGCTTGCATCACTGAATTCTTCGTGACGTCAGCATTCCAGTCCGCATTGGGTTTCCCGGGGACTTTCACGTTGTTCCCGAAGTATAGGGCTTCGGGGGGCAGAGTCCTAGCCGTTATATCTATTGTCTCAGGCGCGAGGCTCAGACCCCAGCCTTTTAAGCGGTTTCTAGCCGACTCATTATTCAATACGTTGCTGACGAACTAAAAACAAGTAACTCGAGTATAAAATAATGTAGGCACCGCAAACGTGCCGCAAAACGTGTGGATTTTGGTCATTTTTTTAACCACGACATAGAAATATCTTTAACCATAATCTTTATATTTCAGCCAATTTATTAAATAAATTATTCACCTAAACCTACGTATAAATAGAAATCCATACAAAAATCGGTTTTCTTTAAGTTTTATACCATGTAAGAGTAATTCAAAAATATTTCTGTGCCCATATTTATTTATACAAATGTGTGCGTATGCTTGTATTAACCTTATTTATATTATAATTAAATGTCTGTATTGGGGCCGTTCAAGTTTTACGTAAGCACTATAGGGGAGAGGGAGGTATTTGATTTTCTTATTTGGGGATTACGTCAAGAGTAATAATTTACTTTTTTACACATATAAAGCTGGCCATAGACGGACCGCATGTTGCAGTCAAACCGACTGCTGTAGAGCGGTCGCGTTGAAGTCGTACACGACTGCAACACGACCGCATAATGCAGTCGGCTACGACTGTTTGGAGCAGTTGTGTTCGACCGCAAAATAATACTGATGCGAGTTTACATTTACAAGATGGATTTCGATGAAGAAACACTGCTACTTGTACTATTATTACGCAAGCGTAGGCGTAGAAGACACCGTAGTATGTGGGTGCGTCCAATACTACAATCAAGAGAACAGCATGGAATATTTCATACTTTGTATCCCCAGCTGAGAGAAGACACTAAAATGTTTTTCGGTTGGCAGCAACCGCTTGTAGCGGTCCGTGTATGGTGGGTCCGGCAGCTCTAAGCAGTCGACCGCACGGCGAAACTCGACCGCAGAGCGACTGCTCCGACCGCTCAGAAACTGCTCGAGCAGCCCGTGTATTGCGGATAAGAATTTAGTATGGAAACTGCAGATCGCCGTGCGGCGACCGCTTAGAGCAGTCGGTATCGGCTGCAACATGCGGTCCGTCTATGGCCAGCGTTACTCACACATTGTCTATGCTTAAAACATTTTCGAGGATTCCTAGGACAAGAGGAGGGGGGAATAAATTGCAGTAAATCTGACGTAATCGTTGAACGGCCCCAGTTTAAGTCGTGTGCTTATTTCACGTCAATAACTTTTTTTACCTATTTACCAACTTCCATGACTTAGTATATATCTCAAGTCGATTTATACGTTTCGATACACATAAGGTGATAAAAATTCATGCCCTAAGCTCCATCTGTCTTACTTGTTTAAAGGCCGCGTGTCGCTGATTCGGCGTGATTCGCGTGTAGGTAGCGACATCTTTCATTAACCGGAAGTTGTTCCTCTGGTCGTCTGTCAATCCTGTCAATTGACACAGTTCCGGAATCAGGCATATCATAAAGTCCACTTCCTTTTCCTCGCCGGATATGCGTTTAGTGTCCCTGAAATAGTTTTTTAGGAATGAAACCTGATGGATGAACGGAAATGAAAATCTCTACCAATATAGGAAAAGTAAAGTTTGTGAGGTTGTATGGGTAATGTCTGGATCTGCTGAACCGATTTTTACTAATAGAAAGCCAAAAAAAAAACCCTTTCGTGGTAGTTGCAAAGATTTCTTCGCGAATATAACGGAATAAATACAAGCGTTTAATAAAATTGTATAAACCAAACCAAAACAAGTTTGGCAATAAACCCTTAGTAATCGGTTGTCGAGGTGACAATCATTAGACAGACATGACATCTCATTTTATAAGATTCAGAATCGAAATTTACAACTGTCAATGTTTTGTCATACTGAAGACCTACTTACCGCTAAGCTTAGTTCTTTTAAATTAAAAAAAAACTCGTTTTCCATTTTATTTCTGCAAATTGTGATGTCTTACGCCCGAAATCAATAATCAAACCACAATCTCAGATTGAAAACAATCAGAGATCAGACCGTGACAGTCGATCGATCTCCTAACTGCATCCCAATAACCAAACCCTACGAAGACAATCCATTTTTGGCGACGGATAAAATGTTCTTTGTCGTTCCATTTTACCGAGTTTTCACTTATATTTGATAATCAATATAAACCAAAATAAATTGTGAATTTTTCGAAAAATGATCTACTATATGCAACTTTACAGAAATTCGTTAAATTAGATAAAGTTTAACAAAAGGCTTTTATTATCATAGACATGAATACAAATATTTCATTTTACCTTATTACTACGAAGATTATTATAGAATTTCATTTATTGTAATAGAATTATTACTATCATTGAAAAACGTGACGATTTGCTACAAAATTTCTCCCATACGTCGATAAAGAAGTTTCATTCCAACGCCGATAAAGAAGTTTGACTTCAAAAAGCAACATGGCGCGTAACCGAAAATGTGACGCGTAACGAAAAAATGTTACACTAAATTTTTTCCAACCTCGATAAAGAAGTTTCACTTCAAAAAGTAAATAAAACCATACAAATAACATTTAAATATACATGTGTATGTTTAAAACTTAACAAACCGTTTTTTAATTATTTAAAAAACTGGTGTAAGTTAAAATCTGTTAAAATAATTAACTGTGAAATCGAGCTTCCGTCAACTGTCTTCTGTCATTTTCATACAAAGGTCTATCCACAGACACCGATACGACCTCCCATGGATATCTTGTATCGAAAGATGGCTATTACAATCCGTCGATTGGTTATTGGCACACATGTTACAACATTTGGATTAATATTACTATCTCAGATGGTGGATTCTGGATTGAGATAGGTTATTGCGTTCGGGCGTTTGTGATTAGAACGCGAAGATTGAATTTCACCAGACTACTTTGTTACTACTTTAATCTTTATAAAACTAATAATATGTAATCTGTTAGAATTGTTTTTTTTAAATAAATTAACTTTAATATATAATAAGGTTCTGCTTTTTCATTTTGTCTTAAAATACCTTGAAATTAAAATAGGCTGATCCCAATCCATAATATCGATGTTATAATTCTTCTTGTAGTAATCAATGTATGATATCTGCACGGGGACTCCATTTTCTTTTCTCTCAAATGTAGATTTCGGCGTTAAATTATCGTCGATGGCGTCCACCCTAAAATTAAATTATTTAAACATTAATAATTTAATTATTTTATTATTTATTAATTTATTATTAATTATTTATTTACTAATTATTCATTTATTAATTATTAATTGATTAAATATTTATTATTTAAAAAATATTTGTTATTATTTATTTATTATATATTTATTTTATTATTTATGTTGTCCTCCTGTTGTCAAATATCAATAAATACTTACCGATACAATTTCTTGTTATAGCTGGTCATAACAGAGCTACCGAAAAGCGTTTCCTTTACCATCTTCTTCCAATTCGCCCCATGCGCTTGCGCAGTATCCTTTATGTAGGATAACACGCTCTGAGTACGCAACACCCGGTGAGTAGAGTCAAGGGTCAACATTAAACCGCCTTCGTATTCACTTACCGCTGTCACATATCTGGAAACATTTTCTTCAAATTAAAAAAAAAAAACAACAAAATGTTTTTTTATAGCAAACGAAAACGAAAGAATATACATAACATTATTAATAAACTTAACTTTCAGTCAGATACTCTGTAACTGTGTAATAACATTTCTTATATAATAATTTCATTAAAAATTTCTTCAAATTTTCCGGTAATTTGTTATATATTTTTATTGAGGTCAATGGTCCTGATTGATGTAATTTTAATCTGGATGTAGGTGGAATCAGTTGGTTCTTACGAGAAGTTATAAAATAACATATTTAAAAACTAAGCAACACAAACAATCCGCAACCAAAATTGGACCCAATTTAGCCTTTAAATACAGCGTCTATTTGCCTCTTCACAATATTGTATTTTACGGGTTTATAAGCTGCAGTAATTAACCATCATTGTGAGAGACTGGTGCCTAAAATAGGACAGTCGAAGTCCAAGGATTATTAAGTCAAAAATTCAAAAAAGAAAAAAAGGTTGTATTTAATTATATCTTGATTAAAAAAGCTTACATATCCAGCGTGTATATTCAATAAAATATTTTATATAAAAAATATCTTGCATAGCAACTTACCCAGGCCAAACTTCCAATTTGTGTTGCGGTATTTGTATGGCCGCGTGTTCGTTGAAGTGTTGTCGCCCAAAACGCACCAGCTCGAGGTCAGACATTATATGTTTGAAGAGCAGATTGTATATATGTATCATCTCGCTTAGGCGTCGTGTGCGATTGAATATTATCTGTAAATACTCATTAGTAATTCAATGGCGGATTTACCACCAGGCTGAGTAGTCTCGGGAACTGAATCTTTTTTTGCTACCTCATAGAAAACAAGAAGATTTCTGAATGACGTTTTTCTGATGTCTTACGGTGCGTACAGACTATATAACATAACATGTTATACAACATTGCTATACAGCATGTTTCAGATAATGTGGACACTGAATGTTATAATAACATGTTATTGATATGTATGCTAGGACGAACCCAGCATCTACGGTTTTTTGTTTTTCTTTTGTTATTTAAAATGGTTATATAACATTGTTATATTGCATTGTTATTCTAATGTGCACAGTATTGTTTTATGTTATAATGTTGAATAACAAGGTTACATAATGTGCACGTGTTATAAAACACAAGTTATATAATATGTTACATAGTCTGTACGCACCCTTACAGATAGAAGTCTGCAACAAATTTTGCCGATGACTTTCACCTCTAACTTTTCATTGTACATTAGGTGTAACAAACTTCAATATTCTAGAGTAAACAGCTAGTTCGACGCCCCCATCCAGTAATCGACCTCAGCGCCCTCAACTTACACTTTGTATTAGTGAAAAGAGCAGAATATATATGTATCTCTTCCCAAAAATTTTTTCGTGCAATTTCAACAAAATTGTTGGATTGTAAAAATTATCTAGGACATAAGAGACAGAGGCGGAAAATACTTCACAGCCTTGAAATTATGTAAATCAGGCAGTGGATTAATTCAAAAAGGAAACAAAACAGACAATATGTAAAAAGAAATAAAATAATTTAATTCAGATTAAAGTTATCAAAGAGTAGAAAACACAGCGCTTACAGACAATATACAAAGACAAAATGATTAGAAGAAAGATAGTCTTAGATTTTGAAGTCGGTTAAAAGCATTTTTTTATAAAGAAAACAGATTGCAGTCCTTATAAGTGATACACAAGAAACTTTACCTGAAAGTTCTAAGTGCGTTGCCATCCTTTTAATAGGTATTATTTTCTTGAAAGACCGTAAGTCGAATTGGATCGGAGATATCTGATCGGGCAGCTGCTATTATTCAAACTTTATCAAACTAATGAAAATGTCTACAAAACGCTCAGTTGTGAAACGTTAAGTAAATATAAAATATCCCACCGAAGTATTTCCGAACCAATTCGACTTAGGGTCCTTCAAGAAAAGAGCGTACCAATTCTTAAAAGGCCGGCAACGCACACGCGAGCCCTCTGGCATTGAGAGTGTCCATGGGCGGCGGTATCACTTAACATCAGATGAGCCTCCTGCACGTTTGCCCCCCCGTTCTATTAAAAAAAAAACTTATACTCACAGTAATATTAACTTTACTGTCGTCATATGGGTTAGTTGAGACAAGTTCAGTGACGTCATTGGGCAGCCGGTGAGGAACATATAGTACTGACCCGTCAAACGTCTTCACTTCGAAGAGGTGTCTATGTTCTGAAAAAAAGTAAAAAATAAACCGCTAAGTCTGTGTGACTAAAATGTTTTGGTTAAGATACGGGAGTCAGAGTTCGCGCTACGTGCTATTATTGAATCACCCTTAGAGTCGAGACTTAACAATTACAGTCAAACCTAGATAAGTGAGAGCTCAAGGGACCGCGATCTCATTTTATCTTACAGAGGTTACTACAGTACTCCCAAATTAACAATGCGCATACAGATCTTTGCCAGTGGTCGTATTCCCGGAAACACCCGAATCATTGTATCGTAAGTCCCCTAAATAATGCACTTGCATTTTGCACTTTGTTCGAAAGAAATATAAGTCAATATCATGTGTACACAATCGAAAACAATTCGGGCGGTCACGGCGGTCTGGCGAAGATCTGTATGCGCATTATTATTTGGGAGTACTTTACACTAACCCGAGTTTCTAGCTTACAGGTACAGAAGGGGTCGATCTCACTTGTCTATAAAACTATAGAAAACAATAACAGACGCACGTTTGGTTTGAAGTAGAGTATCCCTCAAATTTTAAGAATGAGTCAAAAATAGCAAAAGTTAAATGCGTTTAACTGTCGCTTATACAGGTATAGGGAAGTATTAGGTCCTTACATATGAAATTGGCGTTTTGTATGGGAGGAACAAAAAGTCGAATATTTTTAAATATAATATATTTAATTAATCAAAGTATGAACCATTGTTTTCTATGCACTTTTGCCATCTCATAGGTAGTTCATTGATCCCTTTACTAAAAAAACGGACGGGAATCAATAAAATCTGTGAAGGCGATTTGGACTGCCCCATCAGAGTTAAATTTTTTCCCTTGCAAGAAGTTGTCCAAATTGCAAGAAGGTCCGTGGAGTAAGGAGGATGTCTTAGACATTCCAATTGAAGCTCTTCTAATTTGGTAGCCGTCTGTTGTGCAGTGTGTGGTCTAGAGTTGTCGTGAAGTAGCAGTGGCGTGGAGCGATTGACCATCCTAGGTTGTTTAGCCGCTAGCTTTTCCATCATGGTTTGCAATTGCTGACAATAGACATCAGCTGTAATAGTCTGGCCAGATTTGAGAAAACTGCAATGAACAATACCGGCACTAGTCCACCAAAAGCTTACAAGTAACTTTTTTGGGGTTAATTTTCGCTTGGGGCAGGATTTGGCTGGCTGGCCAGGATCTAACTATTGCGCTGAGCGCTTCCGATTATCGTAAAGAATCCATTTTTCATCACAGGTAATGATTCGGTTTAAAATATGTACCTTCATTATTGTGCCGGTTCAGTAATGTAACGCAGCAGTCGACGCGCGTTTGCCGGTTTGCTTCAGTCAATTCGTGAGGTACCCATCTTTCAAGCTTTTTAATCTTCCCAATTTGGTTCAAGTGAATTAAAACAGTTTTATCACTAACACCGCAACCTGCAGCTAACTCGGACGTGGTTTGCGATGGATCCGCTTCCACAATAGCCTTCAATACTTCATCCAAGTTGATAACTTGGGTCTCAGGCCATCCACGGGGCTTGTTCTGCAGGTCGAAATTTCCAGAACGAAAACGTTGGAACCAAAAACGAACTGTGTTTTCTTTTGCAACATGACCGCCATACACATCATTCACCTTCGAGTCGTTTCCGCAGCACTAGTGCCACGGCGGAACTCGTACTCGTAAATAATGCGATACTTTAAGTTTTCCATTTTGTAGAATGAGTGACGCAAACAGAAGAAAAAAACAAATGAATGACGGTCATCGAAGCACAAATACATGAGTAAATAGCTGTACAAATTTGAATTTGGAATTCCTTACCAAAGAGGAGAGCATCGTGATTAAAGTGGCCAGTACGAAATACGCCAATTTCATATGTAAGGACCTAATATTAATCTCACTAATATGTTCACGCGTGACAGACACTTAGGGAGGGTTCAAGTATTACGTCACGCAATTTTTGGAGATTATTGGTGTAAAGTACTGGAATGTCGAAAATAATATTAACAATAACGCGTAATTAAATCCCCGCCGCGCATCATAAAGTTTTACAAAAGGACCCCCCCCCCTGCAAAATTACTGGACCAGGTAAATACTGTAATCAATAGAGTTTTCACGCTTACCCAGTTGTCACTTTTTCAAGTTTGGCTGTAGGATTCTAATCCTTATCTTATTTTATAATATCGTTATTGTCAAGTTTGACATATGACATCAAAATTCAAAATTCAAAAATCATTTACTCATATAGGTATGACTCGTCAGTAAAGAAATACATATTAATGCTTCTAATTTTACATTTAGTGCCAGTTCTCAAATCAAGGGCGTAGAACAGAAGAGAAGAACTGGCAATAAACTCTCCGCCACTCTTTTTAATCGCCATGTTTTTTTTTACACAACGTTTGTAAGGAGCTGCAACCATTACACCATGTTCCACACGACATCTTAAGCAATTAATAATAATAACATAAATTAAAAACAAAGACTTGTCCTCTATCAGCAGGAGGCATGGTGAAATAGGAGCACGCTCTTACATTCTCGTGGGAACAACACGCAAACACATAGTCGAAATAATTAACATCACCGCATACACGAATTCAAGTACGACCAGTCACCACAAGTAGCACCCGTTCACGAGTATGGCGCATGGCCAGCCATCGGCCCCCACGCCATATTTTAGGGAGAAAGACAACCCGACGCATGGACGCCGCCATAAGCAATGACATTAAAGCGAGCATGACGATCCTTGATATACATTAATATCAAGAATTGATTAAATAGAACTGTAAGTATTTGCCTCTTGTTTAATAATGAAGAACTAAGTATCACTCCCTTCCGTATTACAAATCTAAAACTAATAATAATAATAAACTTTATTGATTCAGCTAAATTGCCTTGTAACACAGAAGCTGATCCCCACGCTAGTTCCTGTGTTCAACCACAACCCAGCCTCTTCCGAGGCACAAAAAAGAAGAAAAACTCACCATTAAGCAGTTTAAACCGCAGATGCTTGTGGTCCTGGTCGGGTTCATATTTAACTTGATACTCAAAAACGTTACTTTCTTCAAACTTTAGGTATATGTAGTTGGCTGTGACGTCACACGGCGTCCCAGTCGTTCCTTTCATTACAACTGGGGGAGTATCTTTTATCTCTCTCTATAATAAGAAACACAAATATAAATTAAAAGGCAATTTAAATAAATTGACTTCATTTATCTGTCAAATGAAAAAAAAAACTAGAATAAAATGTAAATAAATAGGTATACTGAAACCAAGTATAATATAGGTAAGAAAGTTGTTCTCTTCTAGTTTCCATGAAATTTATTGACAAACATACAAACACTTGTGAATCTGGTTTAAATGAAACCCAATTTCTTTTAAACTGGCTCTTTATGAAACCACAACACAAGGTACTAGTACTAGGTAAGTACAACAATTAATATTAAATTTTTGAACACTTACAAAGTACTTATTCTTGCCCACTGATGAGGCATCAGAGACCGCCGTGATGGTGCTAGCTGCCATTTGATCAGTTACTGAATCAACTACACTAGCAGCACTACTACCAGGTGGCGACGAATACGATTGGGCAGTTCTTCTAGAATAAATAATTTAATGTTATCTGCAATATTGTCTTTGGTTTATGCCAGTACATGTTAACACTTAAGGTCGCTGGCTAACAAGGCTGTTGTGCTGTTGAAACTACAAGCTATAATGTAATAAATTCATAAATAAACTAGCAGACCGGCCAAGCATTGCTGTGGCTAAGGTTTTAGTTATATTACATAGTAGTAACCTATTCAAGGGAAACAGTAGGAGAACACCAGTCATGGGGACCACCATGCTTTTTTGGTGGTAATGCCATTAAATTGTAGCTTATGTGAAACGTTAGTACTTTCAACACAGCGCCATCTGTTAGAATTGTGACTATCAAATAATAAACAAATATTTTGCAATAAAATAATATTGAGGGGATAAATTGAGATGTAAGCTATCCTATCTTTTAAGTTTGATCAAACTGCACACGGTGTGCAAAATTTGAGTGATATCGGTTCAGTAGTTTAGGAGTCCATAGTGGACAAACAATGTGACACGTAATTTATATATATTAAGATGTAAAAAGCTACTCTTGAATCGCCCAAGCCTTTCTATTCCATCCTTTCTTTTGTTCTATCAGAGGTCTCTTAAAGCATTAAGTTATACAATACAATCTGTGATATATCTAAGAATTGTAGTGTCCATTGTATATGAGAATCACTATTCTCCAAATTTAGGTTCTTGTATACTTACAAAGATTGAATCAATTTGAGTCCTCTCCCCATACTCTTTGGGGCACTGCTGCTTGGTTTAACATCTGATGCTGGACATAATAACGGAGCATCTGGAAATATATTCTATCATCAGTGTTTTTATTTAAGAAATTAAAAATCAGATGAATAAAACTTATTTCCAAGTCTTGTTGTCTTGATTAATAAATATTCGGCACACAAAGGTTTGATTCCTGGTGATGTAATTTTTTATTTGATTTTGGTTAACACCACCTCGTGAAGAAAATTCATCAGATCATAAATCAAAAGTTGTAACGTACCAACATGTATATAATTTAATAATCAAATATTACAGTAAACACATACCCCCTCCTCCACCAGGTTTGTGAAGCATTTTACTAAGTAATGCAACTTTCCCTCTTCCTCCGCCAGCTGGAGGTGGTGCCATGGCTGGAGGTGGTGCCATGGCTGAAGAAACCTTTTAATATAATATACCCTTAAATAATATTTATATTAGGGTAAAAAGTCTGCAGTATTATTTCTCTCTATAGCAATGTTAAAGGGACTGCTCATTTTCTGATACTTATAAAGTTATGGTATGAAAAAATACCATTAATTTACATGGAAAACAAGACAAACTAACCGGTCCACTAATTTCAAAGTATAGTTTTTTTTAGAAAAATCACTGTTTTCAAAATGGAAGCAGGCAGTAAGCCTATCTAAAACAAGAAGAAACAAGTAGCGTATTGCATTACTAATTTAGTAGTAGTAGTATATAATACAAAAGTATTTCCTGCATGGTGAGAACATACAAGGAGCTCAATCAAATTTAATTAAATAATAATTACAATATAACAATGGTTCTTACTGCACTTAAAACATTTGGGGCATAGCTAGGAGCTATACTAGGTTCATAGCTTGATGCAGCACTTGGTGGTGGGTACATATCAAGAGAACTTGAGGTTTCACTAGGTGCGTCCTGCTTTGGAGATTCCACATTTTTTTGAGCTCGTAAAGATTGAATTAAGGCCAGACCACGGCCACGACCCTTTGATGGGTCAGCCATTTTTTCCAGATAATAATATTTCGGTATACACCTAAAAAGCGATATAAAATAAAATAAGGAGGGTAAAGAATTTTTTTTAAATACGGTTTTCCTTTGTTAACATAAATTTTAAAATAGGTCTTTTATACACTATAGCATTTTCATTTAAGTCGTAAAGACAAAAAAAAAGTAAGTCTATGTTGAATTTGAGTTGTTCAACGTGTGAAAAACTTTGAAAGAAAAGTTTTGTAATTCCCTCTAGCCTCAATACGAATAAATTGTATAAGAATTTAATTGTACGTACTGTATAAAGACTTGAAATATTCTTTCTACAAAATACGGTAACTATTTATAACGATTTTAATTTATCTTCTAAAAATAAGAAACACTATATAGTAATAGAACTTAAAAAGCAATGCATCGACAAATCTAAAATCTTAAGCCTCCACAGTCCACAGATGGAAGTATGAACTAGGAACTAGACTGTCGAGTGTCGAGTGTCGACTGAGGAACATTATTCACAACACGTCACACAGTTGACAGTACACACTTGTAACGTGACAGTAATAGTGACAACATACAGCCTTGCGCCCACGGCTTAAATATAATTTTATAGAAGAATATAGAGAAGCGCGGGAAATACGATCGTAGACTGACGCGTTTTTCGATTTAATTAAATTTTATTTTATTTCTAGGGTTTGGATCAGTAGTCTAGTGTAGTTAATGTATATATTTTTGTTATTTCTTAGTTTTATTTAATAGTGTATTAAAGAGAAGATTTATTGGTAAGTTATTTTAATATACTTTTGCTCCTTATGGAGCCGCCTGATGACCCTGGGGGCGGAGAAGTCCCTGGGGTGGGCTGTATAGTAACGATTTCAAATGATGAGTCTGGAATGGAAACAGATGGATCTATAAAATCTAGCAGTGGTGCTCGAAAACGGAGAGCCACTGTGCATAAACATTGCACCCACTGTAATAAAAAGAGACGTAGTCGGAAACATGAGGGCAAGGAAATCAAACCAAACGAATGTCATTGCATTCCTTTAACCAATACCCAAATTAGCACTGCTCCCTTGTTCAATGAGTCACAATCCAACCCGTCACAACTTAATTCCTCTAATGAATATAAAAGCCAGAATCAGTAGCACGTTTAAGATACCAGCCAAGTGATGCAGCACCATATGTTGTTCACATACAAAGAGTACAGCAAACTCCAAATGATAGCGTTTCAGTCCACCCAATTGCTTTTGGTCGTTTCTTAAAAAGAAATTCTATACACAATATTGTTAACGGAAGCCTAAAACGAATTGGTCGTAATAGACTGTCTCTGTCTTTTAATAATTACCAGGACGCAAATTCTTTCCTAAATAACTCTGCTTTACAATCAGTCGAGTATAAGGTTTTTATCCCAACATTTACTGTTACCCGTATGGGTGTTGTAAGAGGCATACCTGCTGAGTGGTCAGATGAAGAAGTTACGGAAAATATTAATTTACCTGTTGGATGCGGTCCAATTTTAAAAATAAGAAGAATGAGACGGCGTATCATTACTAGTAATGGCAGTGAGTTTAAGCCTACTGAAACTGTGGTTCTTACATTTGATGGACAAATACTACCTAAGCGAATTTTTATTTGCTACACTTCCCTCCCAGTTGATCTTTACATTTTCCCCACAATACAGTGCTATAATTGTTGCAGATTTGGTCATGTTAAATCATTATGTAGATCAAAACCAAAGTGTTTCAAGTGTGGCCAAGACCATTCGGCTGATCAGTGCTCTATCCTAGAGGAAGATGCATACTGTTGTTTATGTCAAGGATCCCATTTTGCCACAAGTAAAAGATGTTTAGAATTTGATCGCCAAAAAGCCATCAAAGAATCTATGGCCAAAAGCTGTATTTCGTACGCTGAAGCATCTAAAATTCATGCACCTATCTCAAAAATATCTTATGCTGATGCTTTACTTTCTTCTTCCAATGTAGGTGCTTCTACTATTTCTACTCCTCAAAATGAACAGTCTCATAAACAGTCTTTGAGTAACTCTTACAAAAAGACTTTTTTCTCAAACCTAAATCTATTCCTAAACTTTCCAAAGGTTATGACAGAAATACACAACAACAATTAATTAAAGATTATGATATGCCCTCACCCAGAAATGGTTGTGGATTAAACTTAAACAACAATAATGATTTGACATTACAATCAATTGCAGACCTAATAAAAATTCTCATTAACACTTTATCACAGTCAAATATTCTTTCACCGTCCAACGCTGCTCCTTTAATTGACACTATTGTTAGCTTACCAAATTATATTAATAATGGACAAGCAAGCCAAAGCTCTACAGTGGAACTGTAGAAGTGCTTCGTCTAAGAAAAGTGATATTATTTATCTTATAAATAAATATAAACCTTTTATCTTCGCTCTACAGGAAACCTGGTTGAAACCAGGTGCTCCTTGTAGGTACTCAGGCTATGCCTGTCTCCGTGAGGATCGTATTGACGGGTATGGCGGAGTTGCCTTACTAGTCAAACATCATCTTCCTTTTTCTCACTTTCCTATTCCTTCTCATAGTAATGATTTTTCAATTATTGCTGCTATTGTTAATAATATCTGCTATGTTTCAATATATATTCCTCATCCTAGTTCTTCTATCTTTGTTGAAATTGACTCTATCATTTCTACTCTTCCTAAGCCTTTTATCTTATTAGGCGACTTTAACAGTCAACATAATTCTTGGGGCAGTTCAACAACCAATACATACGGAGTTTCATTGATGGAACTGTTAAACTCTCATAATCTTTGCTTTCTTAACGATGGTTCTGTGACCGGCGGACCTCTCCCAATGAAGGCACAAGTGTCCCTGATTTAAGCATTTGTACTCCTAGTTTAGCTTCCACTATTTCATGGTCTACACTTTCTTCTTCATATGGTAGTGACCACTTCCCTTTACTTCTTAGATTTCCTTTTCACATTAATTTTACATTTAGTCATTCACCTAGATTAAAACATCGACTTAATAATGCTGATTGGGATACCTTTAAATCCCGTATAGAACAAAAGATGACTTCCCTTCCTAATATCTCACATGGTTCAGAATCAATTTGTGCTGATGCATTAACTAAATTATTTATAGAAGTAGCAGACAAAACCTTTCCGCTTAAAAACGGTGCTCTGGGCTTTATTCCATCTCCACCTTGGTGGGATCAAGAATGTTCAGATGCAATTAAAAAAAGAAAACAAGTTGAGCTCCAATATTGTGAGAATTGTACATCTGAAAATTTTGATCTGGTTACAGATGCTTTCAAGGCCACTAGTTTATTATTCAAAAAGAAAAAAACAGATAGCTGGAAATCTTTTTGTCTCTCCATCTCCCCTAATGTCCGTCCTTCTGTGGTATGGCGTAATATTAGAAGATTCAGGTGTGCATTTACTGAAACTTCTGGTTCTCTCCCGATTCATTAACAAATCAATTCCTCGACAGACTTGCTCCTACTACAGTTCCTGAAACAATAATTATACCTCTGATGCCATTGAACCCCTCTGGTCTCAATAGTCCATTTTCTATGTATGAAATTAAAGGAATACTATCTTCAGTTATAGACTCTGCTCCTGGTGACGATGGAATCCCATATTCCTTCATCTCTCATTTAGGTGACCAAACTCTTGAATATTTCCTGAAATTGATAAATACACTTATGTTAACCGGTTCTATCCCTCCACGCTGGAAAAACCAGATCATTATACCAATTCTAAAATCTAATAAAAATCCCTCTAACGCAAATTCATATCGTCCTATTGCATTATCCTCGGTCTTGATAAAACTCTGTGAACATTTAGTGAAAACTCGTCTTGAATGGTTTGTAGAAAGCAATAAATTACTTTGTGACAGTCAATTTGGTTTCCGTCGAGGGAAGAGTACGATGGACAGTATTGCCATCTTTATAACTGACATTTTTTAGCATTTTCAAGGAACGATTCTGTTGTTGCCACATTTTTAGATGTACAATCCGCTTATGACAATGTAGTGTTGTCAGTTCTTCATAAAAAGCTACAGTATTTGAATGTACCTGTAATGTTATCAAATTTTATCATAAATACTTTATACGAAAGACACATCACTCTAATTTCACAAGACTCCACTGTTGTAACCAGAACCTTATGGAGAGGTCTTCCTCAAGGATCAGTCTTAAGTCCCATCTTATATAATATTTATACCCATGATTTGAAAGCTTCTTTGGGTAATCAGTTTGTATTCTCCAGTATGCTGATGACCTTTTAATTTATTCCATTCATCAATCACCGGCCATTGCTTGCTCATTACTGTCTCATTCTCTTAATTTATTAAAAACTTGGCTTGATACTAATGGCCTTGAAATATCCCCCACTAAAAGTGTTGCCATGCTTTTTTCTAGAATGCGTCTCCCTCCTCCAATCAACGTGTATTTTGATAATAATATTATCCCTGTTAAAAACTCTGTGAAGTTCCTTGGTGTGTTTTTAGATTCTAAGCTCTCTGGTGTAAATCATTGTGACTACATTTTTAATAGGTGTGAGCGAAACCTGAACATTCTTAGATGTTTATCCGGTGTATGGTGGGGTGCCCATCCCTTTTGTATGAAACTCATGTACAATGCTTTAATCCGAAGTATTTTAGACTATGGTACCTTTTTATTATCTCCTGGAAATGCAACCCGTTTAAAAAAATTAGATAATATACAGTCTAAGGCATTAAGATTAATCACAGGAGCTATGAAAACTAGTCCAATTAATGCTTTACAAGTAGAATGTGTTGAAGCCCCATTACATCTTAGACGACAATATTTATCTGATAAATTCATATTTCGCTCCCTTCAATATGCCAACCATCCTCTCCGTTCTAAGCTGCAAGAACTATCTCAATTGTTGACATCTTCCAAGTACTGGTCAAATAAATCTTCACCTTGTCTCATCGTCAGCTTCAATAAATTTATCAATATTCAAGCTCCAACTCATACCTTACCAACTTACCCTTTATTTGGAACCAACTTTGAATCTCTAATTATTTCTCCAGACATTAGATTCAATATTGGTATAAACAAGGGCGATTCCCACGCAAGGATTACTTTTAATTATTTCTGTGAACAACACTGCCATGAGTACAATTACATATTTACAGATGCCTCTAAACACGGTTCGTCTGGTAATGTAGGCATAGGAGTATTTCACTTACAAAGTAAAACTACAATAAAAATAATGTTTCCTCCAGAGTCCTCAATCTTCACAGGGGAATGTTACGGTATCTTTAAAGCTTTAAAATTAGTTTTGAGTAAGAAACTTAAGAAATCCATCATATTCACAGATTCACTTAGTGCTCTTCAAGCTCTCCAAAAATATCCATTAAAAACAAATTAATTTTTCCTATCATTATTGAGATTAGGAGTTTGTTGTATGAATGTGAGCAATTGGGGTTGTCTGTGTCATTTGGTTGGATACCTGGACATTCTGGTATATTTGGTAACGACATAGCAGACCAACTAGCAAATGAAGCTGTTAAGGATGGCGATTCTAACTCGTATAAAAATTATTATCATGATTTGGCCTCACTTCCTGCTTCTTTTCTTCGACAATCTTGGACTGACCTTTGGATTCAGAGCAGTTTAATTAAGGGTAAATATTTTTCATGTATACAGCCCACAATACCACTAAAGCCATGGTTTTTTAAAATGAAATTTAATAAAAAGGAAACATCGTCTCTCATTCGTATGAGATTGGGCCATGTGTGTACCCCAGCCCACCTTTCCAGATTTCATATTATTGATAGTGAAATGTGTGAGTGTGGGCTGAATATTGGTGATTTAAACCATATCATTCTGTCCTGTCCTCGGTATAACCACTCCATGTTATTCGATCATTCTCATCCTTCTTCTAGTATCCCGTTACCTACATCTGTTCCTGTTCTGCTTTCATCTTTAAATAATAATATATATAAAAAGTTATGTTTATTTCTTACTCTAAATAATATAAAATTATAAATATGTACATACATATGTATACAAATCGTATTTTGTATGATATATATTTTATTAATTACTGTTCCTTTCCATAATGTAGTACTTTGTATTAGAGATAGTTTTATATCCTGCTGATCCTATCCTTTATCGATGTAATGTTCATTCGGTGTAAAATTATTTTTCTTTACTATTCCGTTTTCCTTACCTTTGTCTGTGGCAATACGCTCTGCGTGAGGCTATTTAAAAAAAAAAAAAATTTTATAGAAAACGTTTAGGATAGGGATGTGACATTCTGAATAAAAAAATCGATTTTTTATTAATCGATTATTTTTTTAGCATGAAAAATCGATTAATAAATAATCGATTTTTCTTAAATATTTTATTTTTCATGGTTTTTTTTAAATAAAAATAAACAATAGAAATTATAAACACAAATTAACGTTTAAGAATAATCAAAATCGAAATTACGAGAAACTTTATTTCGTTTTGATAGATTTTAGGTGAAACTTGATAAATGCTGAGTGTATGCCTTTTTAGTAGCACAGTGCAGTATTTTTGTTGTCTTTTTAATTGTATGTAGTCTTGTGCTGCTGAATATTTTTTTTACTTTTAAATTATAGTGTTCCATTCAAACTTGACTTTTTTGTAAAATTAACTGGTTTTATCATCCTTTCGATGTTTTACAAAAAAACATCAATGCATCTTCAAAGAATCGGATTCAATGTATCGCATTGTAAACATCGTATATCGAATATCCCTAATAGTTCGAGGTCCGGGTTATAAAAGACCAGACATAATGTCGGGAGGTAGCAGATAAAAAATCGACTATGATTGATTTTCAATTATAAAAATAATCGATTATTTTAAATATAAAAATCGGGTTAAAAAATTCGATTTTTTTAATAATCGATTATTTTTTTACATCCCTAGTTTAGGACAAGTATTTTTATGTATTATAATTTTAATTACTATATACATATACATATATTTAAAAAAAATCCAAAAAGTTTTATACAGTAACAATTGGTTAAATTTTTAGCAAATATTGGAGCCCCTGACCTAAGTCTAGGGAGACCTGTACTTCAGGGTACTCCGCACTTCCAACGGTTTAATGAAATAGTACCTTAACAATAATTGAAACCAAAATACTATATTACATATAAAGAAAAATAAAAAGCTAAGACTTATTACTAAACTAAAGATACAGGTTTACATGATTGAGACATTTGTACACACCAGAATTATAATCTTAGGAATGGGATGGATGGGATGGGAGGTGGAGGGTGCTAGTGTTAAATAGTGTAAGTGCATTGTGGAAATTAAGAATGGTTAAATTATACTTGAACTAGCAATTATTCAGTTTCTTCGTAGTTTAGTGCACAAAGCCACTTGGTAATTATTGTTTTAATTTCGAATAATAACTTCGTGTAAATATTAAGGATCCTATTAAGTTTATTGTATAGCTAAAATTGACGGTGTGAGAATTTGGTTTTACATTGAGATATAATACACACTAGGTCCTTCCAACGCCTTTAAAGCAGTGCTTTGTTAATGTGCATTTGATAATGTTTTCTAAGGATTCATCTAAGGATGAACAACTGGTGGATGGTAAGAAGATTGCTTGAATTGTATAAATCAAAAGTTGAATAGCCGCATCCACACCGGATGATCCAAAATGGATCGGCGATCCCGCGATCCGCGATCCAAGATCGCGATGCGTGGAGCGTGGATCGTACTAGGCCGATCCAACAGCAATCTTTTGCGATCCTGACTGGCTGATCCAACACGCTCCAGCGGATCCATACTGAATCAGATGAACTTTGTCTGGCTATGGAGTCACATGCGCAACCACGGCGACAAATAGCCTTAGCAGCAACAAGCTACATTTTACTTATATATTTACGAAAACGAAAAAGACAGTATTGGGTTAAAATAATGTTTAAAAACCGGTTGGAATATGGGACTCGGCTTTACAAAGAGTTAATTGTTGATGGAGCTAAAGCTAATTTTGCACGAATGACTGCAGATCAATTTGACTTATTGTTCATTTCCCAACTAATTTGCCGACAAGCATCTTCTCTTACACTTCTATTTGTGTAATATCATTAGGATCCCATAAAAATTTATTCTTCCTATATAGGGATACTAAACGAATACATTGCGAATTCTCCATAACGACGCATCACGCGATTCAAAATCCCAACCGTCCACACCGCGTGCGCCAACTGATTGAGGCCCCTTTGAGCGTGAACAAAAACTGACAACAAATGGATCGCACGCGGTGTGGAGCGCGCGCGGCACGTCCACACCGCCTGCACATTTGAATCGCGCTCATGCCACGCGCCATCGGAGCGCGATGGATCGTCCGGTGTGGATGCGGCTACTAGCTACGCTTCTTGAAAAACATCACCTTCAACAGATCTCTCCAATGTTATTAATTTCGTTTTATAAGCACCACCCCACACTGGATTGCTAGAGATCAGTACAGATTGGGCTAAGGCTTTGTAGATAGTGATCAAAATCGTATTATATGGTATAAAATAAACCCTTTTTGAATTTGAATGTTTGAATAACTAACAGACTAATTCGAAATTAACAGTCTCCAAAGGGGGCCTCATAGCCTAGCGGTCTTATTAAGTGGCAGCTAGGTGAGGGGTACCGGGTTCGATTCCCGGTTCGAGGGCAAGTTTTAATTTAATTTAAATTTGTTCTTGGCCTTTGGGAGAGTTGTGCGGTACCGGGCGAGTGAATTTCTAAGGCAAAAAGCACGAATGATAAAAATCTCATACTTGACGCTGGCTAATGCACAAACCGTGCCAGAGCCATAAAAAAAAAAAAAAGTCTCCAAAGCATCAGATATTTTAGAGTAAGTGATAGTTGACAGTTGTTTTGACAATATGAAATGGGTTTTTTGTTTAATATTTTTATCTCGTAACTAAATAATAATAGTTATTTAATTTTAATTGTGTGTGATTACCGAAAAGGACTTGAAGATGTTTCGAAACTCAGTGCAATATATAAGGGCAAGTCAAAAATGTGGTCGTATATTTTGCTTATCTGCTCTCACTAGGTATAAAAAAATATAACATTTTAATACAGTAAATGAGCAAATAAAGATGCTAATTGTATTTTATTTGTAGGCATTTAGATACCAAAGCCTTCAGTGGTTATGTAGTTACTTCCAACAAACTTAGATGTGCTAAAATTAAGCCTTTGTATTTGTGTAATTGTCGCACAATGTTTATTCAAACACAAGAAACACCAAATCCAAACAGTTTGAAATTCCTTCCTGGTACTCAAGTATTGGAGCCAGGACAAACAATAGACTTTCCTAATATTGGCGCGGCTCAATGCAGCCCTTTAGGTAAGCTATATTTGAGATATTGAAACTACTAATTTGTAATAAGTCTCTTATTTTTAATACTCAATATTACTATACAATATATTTTGTGACTTTTAGCAAAAATGATATTTAGAATAGAAGGAGTTAAAGCTGTTTTCTTTGGTTCTGATTTTATAACTGTAACAAAACAGGATGATGATGTTGAATGGAAACTATTGAAGCCAGATATATTTGCGACAATAATGGACTTCTTTGCTAGTGGATTGCCAGTGGTTACTGATGCTAAACCTTCAGGAGATACACGTGAGATATAATAATTTCTATTAATTATGCATTTTGACTAAAAATTAATTAATTAAGATGTATACTGCCATAAAAATAACCTCTATATATATATAAATTAACCATTCTTAAAGTTTACACAGTGAAAGTCAATTATATTTAGTTATATGCATGCAGGTAAAATGTATATAATTATAAAGTATATATAAGTATAATAATACTTTTGTCTAAGGAAATACTTCAGCACCTAAACTCCATGTAGTGTAAAGTTGTTTGTACTATGTAATGTTTGTCTCTATATTATTACAACTCTATACCATGCACACATGCATTGCACATAATGAAGTCTGTTTCATTTTATAGATTTAGCTCTATATAGCAAATTAGTTTGATGAGATGATAATACATAATTTTCTTATAATTATTTTTAGAAATAAACGAAGATGATGATGAAATAGTTCAAATGATAAAAGAATTGTTGGATACTAGAATAAGACCAACAGTGCAAGAAGATGGCGGGGATGTTCTGTTTGTAGATTTTAAAGATGGTATTCTAAGGCTTAAAATGCAAGGCTCATGCTCTTCATGTCCAAGTTCCATAGTTACTTTGAAAAATGGAGTAAGTGTTTTAGTTTTTCTTTAAAAGTGTTTTAGTGTTGAAACATTAGTATTATGTGTATAATTAATGTGATCTTGAAATTTTACAAACATTTACATGTTCATAACATCAGGTGATGGCTACTGTATGGCCCACTGTACTATAAAAAGATGTGTGAAAAATATTATTAAAAAATTTATCAAGTTGAAGAATCTAATCATTACTTATATAATTAATACATTCCGAACAATTATTGTCCTTTAATAATGTGTGTACTATTTCTATTATGTTTTAAACAGGTTCAAAATATGATGCAGTTTTATATTCCTGAAGTACTTTCTGTGGAACAAATTGACGATGAAGGAGAGAAATTAAGTGAAAAGATCTTCAAAGAGTTTGAACAGTTAAAACAAAAGGAGAATAAAACAGATTAAATGTAGAAGTAGTTTATTAGTTTTACATTTGTATATAGCATCAAGAATAATAATGTATATTATTTGTTGTTTGTCTTTTTCTGGTTAATCATATAAGGGATCGCACTGCAGCTTTGGGGCCAAACATATTTGGCTTAATCAAATGGTTAATTTTCTCATGGTGGTAATAGCACAGGCAGTCCTCGACTTACGTCGTTTCAAGTTACGTCGAACAATGTTTTGACACTATTCCTCAAGCGTACGTCATTTGTTTCGATTTCCGGCATAGGAGAATTCTTGTCTTTTGTAAATTTGGAGGATGCCATGAAATTTTTTTAAGGAAATGATCCTTATTTTGAGAGAAGTTTCAACGTTAATTTGATTACATATTAAAGTTTTATAATTATTATTAAAAATATACAACACATAACACACAAATACCAAAAATAACTAGCAATTTCATAAGTGCATATATAATTATTTTAAGAGCTTACTTTTGATAATAAAGTATGTATATCCTTTGTGATAAATGCATTTTTTTTAGTTTCGAGTCCGTGTGGAACCTAAGCCTCGAGTTTTACATGTATATATATATATATATATATGTATGTAAGAAATATATCTCGACTTACGTCGCGTATTTCGAAGAACCTAACATGCCTGTATATATGTATATCTAATATATAAAATTCTCGTGTCACAATGTTCGTTCCCATATTCCTCCGAAACGTCTCGACCGATTCTTATGAACTGTTTTATACATATTCAGTAAGTCTGAGAATCGACCATCTATCTTTCAAACCCCTTTGTGATAAGGGGTTTCAACCCAAAAAAAATTTTTTTTATGATATAGCATACAAAAATACATAGAACCTTTAATTTTTACCCCTCTACAATTAACCCCTACTTTTTATTATAGTATATAGTTATTTTTATTTAACTAAAAATTTTTTCCTAGAAATAATATAAGTATATTGCAAAACAATGTTTGCCGGGTCAGCTAGTACTAAGATAAAATATCACTTCCAAACTAAAGCCAAAACAACACCAGAGATGTGAGATTGTCAAGAGATATGAAGAGAGAGCCTTGAGAGAGGCTGAAGGTTCTAAACAAATTAAAGTGTATACTTTGTATTATTTATTTAGAAAAAAAATTTATTGACAATTTTTACACATATTTGTAGCATGGACAATTTTTAACCAAATAAATTACAAAATATTGAACCTTAAATATTATCTTTACTTACAAATATAATCCCAAGAATAGCCTTCTATTAATGTTTATTAATACCAATGGTTTTATTTGTAAAATATCTTGCAATAATTTGTTGATATTAAAAATTCTGTTAAACATAACATTATATTTAAAATAAACCTAATGAACACTAAAAATAGGTATACTTTTAAGGATCACAAAATAAATCATTTAAATTCAAATTAATACTTATAAAATTACATTTAAACATAACATTGAGATAAAATGGAACATAGAATACCACTTGACTATTAATAATCTTGATAACAATTTATCAATGTATTTCGAAATCACAAGTAGATAATATGTATTTGCAAAGTTATTGTAAATATCAATAATTTACAATAGAAACAATTTGTGTAGTGAGTACCTACTCTGAGTACTGACAATAATTTTATAGTGTGTGCTGAAAAATAAATCTCGTGGAATTTGAGGACGCTACAGTGCAATTACCTTTTCTTATGTAGACAACACTGTTAAGTATACCATTAAATTCGATAGAAATGAGATATTTAATATGAAATAAATTAAAGTACTTAAGTATATAATTTTTGTGAATCAATGAAAAGACGCCTAGCAAATAACTATTAATTGCCACGCCTTTTCTCTCCGCAGTGATTGGGTATATGAAATAATCTGAATTTGATGCCGTTAGACTGCCCAATCGTATAAATTCGTTAACACAAATATAAATTAGCGTCCAATAACCAATATAAAGTTACTTATAATCGCTTTATTATTTTATACACTTCATAAGTTTATTATCAAACATTGAATTTGTTCAAACACTAAAATAGTAATTATGGTTTACATCGACATACACAACAAGAGGGAAATAGAAACCAGTCCATGAATATTCCAGCACAATCATCGCTTGGGTCGTACGCGAGCAGTCTGTGCCATTTGTATTTCTGCTCGCATCCACAATCGCCTGAACATCTTGACGTAGATTGTTTGCTGAAAAGATACATTAAGGAGTTACATTATTGATGAATCAATATTTATTGCTTTGACATCTATTGTATATAAAGAATCAGTGAAACAAATCTAAAAACTCGCCCACTCCATAGCGCTCGCTAGAATGTTGAATAATAACAAAAGGGTGCGTGTACTTATGTACGCGCGTAAGAAGTTATACTTCTTTGGCATTATTAAAAATAGTTTTTGATTGCATGCAAATAATTAATTACAATTAAATAATCAAAGACTGGAAAAGGAGTCATTAAAGTCAATAAAGTTCAGTTTACATTTGAAAAATTAATTAAATAAATATTTATTATTATTCTCTTACATTAAACAAATAAAACACTATTTATCTTTAAAACATTTTTATTTCATTATACTATTTATTTTTAAGTGACTCTAATGTCTTCATCAGAATTTCGGTTTGTAATTTTAAATTAATCATTACTTGGTTGTGCATCTACGAGGCTTCTCCAAAACTACTTGCTTTCTGCAACAAATAAGAGAATATTAATTTAAGCTCTGTCCATGCAAAACTTAAAAAATTTTATAATTCATATTATAAATTTTTTAACACATTTATATTAATATAATTATATAAATGTGTTAATAATATAATTTGTAGCACATGCTACAGACCTGGATAGCAGCTTTCTTTTATTCTATTTAGAGATAGAGATAATTTAAATATAATACCGGTGTCTTCCTTGTAGGTTTCTTTGGAGTTGTTTGGGGATTCTTGTTGTTCAGTTCGACATGATTTTCTTTAACCTTTCTTTAATCCTACAAAATAATGAAATTGTTAAGTTATGTTGTCACTGTTGTGCACACCTTTGTTTGGCTTTTTAGTATTCAAGTTATGTCAAAACTGATTTATTACCTTGTCATTGTTGTTGGCTTTATTTGCTTTTGGGATATCAATTGTTTCCAAAATGATTTTATTTGTAATAACCTGAAATATATAAATAACATCTATTAATTTAAGTATCATGGTGAGTGGTTCGCACTCAGGTATTAAGGTGTATTATACCCACTGTCCATTATAAGTGGGAATGGGCTCACTTCTGGCAGGACAGAGTTTCGGTACTACAAGTGCAACATGGATGTTTTGAGGTATTACAATATCTCTAACTACCCTGTAGGGGAATAAAGTAATGTTGTAAGCATATGCCTATGCTTGAAAGGTTGAACCTTGAACATCACCATACATCATATTTATAATTAACATTCCTACCTCGACACCATCACAATCAAATTCATTGAAATCTACTTCAAACCATTGTGTCTCGAGAAGGTGATGGTGGCTTTGTTCCACCTCCAGTTTTTGATGTTTCACGGCGATAAGATGACAACTCTTTTTTGTATTCAATTTAGTGCACTTCCACTGATTCATCAATTGTTTTTTGTCTCTTGTCCTTATATTTGCTAGATTAAATCTGATGTTTTGATTAAATAATGTGGTCATTTTTTTGAGATGCAGGTACTTATTAAAATGTTTACTTCTCTGTTATATCGCTCCAAGCCTTCATTTTCTCCTTATTAGTATTCGTGCTTAAATCTTTGTTCTCAATTATTGATATATAGGGTCGTAGAATATTTCTAAAAAGTTGCTGTAACAAACGCAATAAACAAAAGCAATGAATAATGGTTCATGTTTCAGTTTTAATCAACAATAATACTCGATAATACATACGGATAGTTAACCTCAATTGTATTGAAGCACTCAGGAAGGTTAGCACAGTTTTTTCACAAATATTTTATATTATTTCACAAATATTTTGTATAATGAAAATAACTTGGTATATAATTATTAATTTTAAACAATAATTAAAACTCCTATATTTGTTTAAAAGGTAAATGTCATTGTCAGATGTCAATTGTCATGGTCATTCAAAATTCTTGTTAAGCTGCTAAGCTAGAATATGCGTGAAGTTAGCTTCACGCATATTCTATTTCTTTACTTGTAGTTTGTCTTATTCCCATCTCGCTCGCGCACGCTATATCACACTGCCAATTTTGTGTCATAGGTGCGCGCGCAATCGTAAAATTTCACTCTCATCAATTTTTCATAACGCGCCTAAAGAAGTACAACTTCAAAAATTAAATTTTTAATATACAGTAGACTAAGATTTTTTTATTATGAAATTAAAACAACTAGCCGGTAATCATAAACTTTAATATTAAATAGATAGTTGATCACAGTAATTTATAATCCAGTGTGGACCTACTTCGCTTTTGTATTCAAAAACAAAGTAATATTAAAATATATCATTTAACTCTACTTTTACCACCTCTATGAGAAAAATATTTAGTGCAACTCACTATTCTCTTACTTGAGGCAATCCTGCCTCAATCTGATCTTTAAGTAATCCAATCTTAAATCAGAATTTGAATAAACAACTAAAAAGACAACGCTCTTCTCGCGTTTTGACTCTCAGAATTTTATATTTTTAATCTGGCAGCCAGTAATGTTTTTATACTGTTCATAATTGATTGAATTTTTAATTTACTTACAATATCCACATTTCAAATTTAAATCACTTATAAAACCTAGGAAACCAACTAACCTTTTTGGTCAATGAATGGGATAAAAAATCTTATAATACCTGCACACTTCCTGGTGTATCGCTTGTTCAAAATGCATGGTGTTTACAATAGCTCGCAATTTCCGGGCCGAATTGAGCGCCCAGTATGGAGTCATGATTTCAGTTTTGCTTTCGCACGCGTCTACTCTGAAATGCAAATGGAAGTTAGTTACGAACATAAGTAAAATCTTCTCCTCATCTTTTTATTTTTCACAACATTAAATGTGTTTGATTGTCTGTTTTTAACATAATGGAATGCTTATAGTACGAGAGCCTACGACCAAAAGCATGTGCCATTAGCCATAGTGCCACGGTCGAAAATCGTCAAATTATATGATTCTGAACCCGCCTAATAACGGCCAAAAGTATAGCAACTGCCTGGGAGGCCTCTGTTATGTCATAAAAAGTCAGTCGATATCATAGCAATACGTCTGATACGAATACCTAATTACGTATTACTTTTATCACGAATGAGCCTTTGTATAACCATTATAAATTTACCCAAGTAAAAAACTTAAATACACTTATGTCAACACTAAGAGAGTAAGATTCAGAAACGCCACTTGGCGCGAACTATGACTCGCGTGTGTCAAAATCCAATTCGTTTTTGACATACATAAGACACAGCGCTAGCCTCGACTGTGAATCTCAATATGGTTGTACATAGTTCAAATTTAGAATTAAATTTTAAAGAAATTTCATATTCTGCCTCGACGTCCAATGATGAAACTCAGCTGCAGGATCCGAACCACTCTTTACGCTCTTTACAGTAATACAAAGACACCCAAAATCTCTACGCAACTGCATGGGACGAAGCGGCTCAGAAAGTGGCTGGTCGTAACTAATTGAAATCTCTTTAACTGTTCGAGTATTATGTCAAAATCGAGTTTCACGTCATGATCGGGATTTAATCTTACCTGCCAGTGCTATTAACAGCCTGGGCATCCGGTAGTTTCGGCTTTGCCTGTCGAACGTGTCGTCTGAAATACGAGTCACCCGAGTGTGTGTCCGGTATCCCTGCGTGCATATCCGGAACACCCGGTGCTCTTCTAACCCGGGCACCGCTGGGCATTGCGAACGACCCGTACATACGTTTTATAAGAGCTTTATTCTCGTCTATGAATGTTTCAATTTTATCTCTGGAAAAATTGAAAAAATATATGGTTAAGAATTACTGTGTTTAGAAGATATTTATTTTATGCTGATCAGCTCTGGCCTAGTGGTTAAGCATGCGACCTTTCGTTCTTGTCTTCAAAATCGCGACTGTAAACAGTGTACCCAATTTTTTTATATGTGCGAGTAAACATGCTCATATGGAATTAAAACTATGAGAAACCAGCGCCAATAAACCCTCACATACACCCATACAACTTTATTTCTATTGTAATCTAGTTGACTGTTTTTTTTTTCTTTTTAAAACTTTTAATTTGTTTGCCTACAGATATGTACTTTTTTTATGACTCAGTATGGCTTTGCTGTGGAATGGAAGCCTGGTTATTCATATCACAGGTTCTTACCTAGCTTGTAAACCAGTATCCCAATACATTCTCAACTGTCATCGTATTTTTTGTTTCAAATGTTATATGGGAGAAAATAAAGAATTTATTATCATATCCCGACTTTGGAAGTTACAGAGTTAGAGTCCTGAGTCTTAAGACAAAACCACTTCACGACAGGCGTGACCCTCTAACGCCAAATTAATTTGTATGGTCACGTGATAAAGCGTGAGCTAGTGTCATTCTCACACAAATTGCTTTGGCAGTAGTAAGTCACGCCTATCGTGAAGTGATTTTGTCTCAAGCCCCTGCTGTGTTTAACGAATGTGGTGTGTTATGAATGGACCCAAGAATCGACGACCTTTGTACAGTAGGAGGATTACCAATACAACGAAATGTTTATAATTAAAAATTTAAGTTTTTGTATTGTATCCATAGATACAAGTCCGTTGGCTATTGTACTTACAAGGGATATGTGTTGCCAGCAGTTGGACAGTAAAGTTGGAAATTTCTTTTCACACATGGCACACCTCTGATTATTTGGCCCTGAAGCTCGTAACCCAGCGCCACTGACAAAGCTGTCCATAGGATCTGAAAAATATATTTAATATTTAATCGTTATCAAATAGTATGAAACTAAATGTAGCTTTTTATAAATATCTCTGGCACTTAGAGAAACTGGCATTGAATTTTTTAAAGGATTGCATTAATTTATACCTACGTAGTATTTCCGGAAAGGAAGTAAGTAGTAATCCATTTTTTATGTAAATACCCTCAACGTTGCAATTTAAAATTTTTTAAGTCAAATTTTCTTAACTCTTTATGAGATAAACATAACTTAAAATTTTCCTCAAACTCTAGAACGATACTTAGAAAATAGAAATTGCGCCAAAACAAAGTATCATTTGCGCATGCGCTGAGGCGCTGCCACAAATAGAAAAGGCTATTGCCTTTTCTATGGCATATTTACCATACAGCTGCCGGATACGAGGTATCTCTTTTAAGTTTTTTCGTTTGAAGAAAAGACCCAACTAAAACCTAGTACTTTTTATTGTTTTTCAAAGTATTCACCTCGTAGCTTAACACACTTTTCCATTCGCTCAAACCAGTTATCATACCATTTATTCCACCCAAAGTGGGGGTGTTCAAAATGGCTGACTTGAAAGCCTCGATTGCTTCTTCACCGGACTGGAACCTTTGACTACGAGGACTTTTCTTAATTTTAGGAAATGTAAAGAAATCGTTAGGGCTTAGGTCAGGACTGTATGGAGGATGGCCAAGAATTTCTACTTTTTCCTGCTTCAAATACTGAATGGTTTGGCGAGCGCTGCGTGAGCTAGCGTTGTCGTGGTGCAGGATGATACGTCGCTTTGAGTTAGACCTTCGAAGTTCGGCTATGACTTGTGGTAAACAAACTGTGGTATACCACTCTGCGTTAACCGCTCTACGATCTTCAAGTGCAATAGTCGCAACATGGCTGGTTTTTCTAACGAACGTGGCCACCATCTTCTTTGCTTCGAGAACAAACAACTTTAGTCAGCTTTGGCTCGTCTTAAAAGATTCAGATTGTAGATTGTTGTTTGGAATCAGGATCGTAGGCATAGATCCAAGATTCATCACCACTGATGATGTCGTAGACGTGATTTGACTCTTCTCGGTTGAACCTTTGCAGACTTTTCTTACACCATCTGGCGCGGACCGCCATGTGAGCGTCGGAAAGCAGATGCGGTATCCAACGGCAAACTAGCTTTCTCGCACCAAGTGCTTCATTCAAGATCTTCTGAATGGTTGTCCCTGAGATGCCTAATAGAGCCTCTATCTCTGATACGTCACATGACGATCTTCAAGAATTAGTTTTCTCACAGCAACGATTTTATCAACGATTTTATCTCAAGTGTAAACATTATGCGGGTATATCATAAACTCTTTTGCTTGATTTATAATTTGATACATTTTAGTCTATAGTTATTTTGGGCTGGCGATCTGAGTGAGTTGTTGCCCCACATATCTTTATGGTGCCTCTGGCGGTATTGTTGTGTACCGGGTTGTGCAGCTCCCTCAAAAATGGTTGAGCTGCATGAGCTATTCGGGGCATGCTAGCCGTCTGCTGGCGCAGGCTTGCTCAGATCGATCTGGTTCTTTCTTCCAAAGACCAGTCCAGTAAATTACTCTGCATTTGTTTACACCAACTTATTAATTTATTATTGTATTATCTGGACTATAAAAGAGACTAAGACCCCCGAGTTTGTTTCGACATTTCTTCTCAGGGCAGTCAGTTAGGAAATGTCGACTTCATCTAGTTTAGGAAGACATTGTAAAAGTGATTTATATAGTCCTACTTGCAAGAATAAACTATTTCATTTCATTTCATTTCATTTCATTTCATTTCATTTCATTTCAGTGAAGGCAGATTTAGGGCGTCCTTCGCGAAATTTGTCACTTCGGCGATCGACAGTCCCTAGACATTGGGCTTCATCACTGAACATAGATGTTAGCTCTTCAAAACACTGAAGCCGTGTCAAGCCTCTTCTACAGTTGTAGAAAGATATTGCTCGAACATTTTTCTTCGAAATATTCATTTTCGTGCGTAACCTGGCAGATTCCAATCGACGCTGTGACTAAACAATAGCATTAATCCTAATACTTTCAACTGTTTTGAGATTTAAAATATAAACACATTCGAATATAGAACAGTTCCAAATTCAAAATTGCCGGGAAATATGGAAACGACAGAACATAAAAGGTATGCCTCGTATCATATAAAGTTTAACTTTATCATAATTCGAGAATTATATATTTTTTATAATGATATAACAGTAGTTATTTATACTGTGTAATAACAGATAGTAACATAAACACAAATTGAATGAGCGTACGCGCACAGTTTTTCTCTAGAAATAAAAAATATATAGCATTGTACTTAGCTTCTTTCATTGAAGGTTGTATAACTTTGCAAAAAGATTACATTATTAAGTATAGAATAATGAATTATAATTCTTGTTACATAAAAAAGCGCGATTCTGGCGCGCTGGAATGAGGTTTAAATTAGATTTAAATCATTAACTAAATAGGTACGTCACGTCTACTCCAAATGTTACAAAATTATAGGCTATTATTTTCACTTTTACCCTTTGTTAAATACATACTAACTACACATACTAACAGACCGTTCTATACATGAACAACATTAATAACAAAAAAACACTTATTTAATAAAAATATGTATATGTAAAGTACCAATGAGGGGTTTATTTTAAAATAACGTTAGAATTTAAATATTAAAACTTAAACAAATCGTAAAATGGCTTAAAGAATATAAAATAGATTCAACTCACGTAACAATAAAAATCCATGCCAAATTAGAAACACGACCAACGGTTGCAAAGTGCGATAATTATCTGTTCACTGATGTGATACAAAACGGGATGCTGCCGAAAAGAGGTTTTTCTATGTATTTTGTGTTACTTCGCTTGTAACCATCCGGTGTTGCCAATATAAGGCTTATAATACGATTGCGATTTTAAATACACAGAAATATTATTATTAATTTACAATTCACGTACACACACACATATGGTACCTACAAAAACTATCTCGACAGGGATCTCGATCTCAATCATGAATTTTTTTTCTGTGAAATTCAAGATTGCGACATCTCACATCAGCGCTACTGATACTGGGATAACTACATCGAACTTGCATACAACTATAACTATCGCTGTCACTATTGGAAGGTCAGATTAGCGTAAAAAACCGCCTACCGGGGAAGGTGGGGTCCTTTACTTCGCACTATGCTCACTCCAGTGAGCTTCTGTCCTGCCCTTCAGGCGATTGACCACCCCGAGGCGGCCCAAGCCGAGGTTCAAGTCTCGCAGAAGACGCCTGCGCTAGACACGGTAAAAGCCCACTCTGGCCGAGCAACGCTCGCGAAAAAAGCCCGAGCTGAGCTGTCAAGGCCTTTCAGGCCAACAGCGATTGGAAGTTAAAGTAAAGGCTGAGAAGAAAATACTGATTTTATTCCAGTTTTGGACGTAGGTACAGTTTTTTCTAAACTGGATGGATTGTCAAATATCTTAATGTGCCTACCAGAATATTGTTTCGTTGGGAATACTCACATAGTCTAATTTAAGCCGTTGGTTTTAACCATAATGGCGATATAATTTACCTTACCTTAAGTTCGTAAAAAATAACGATATATTCAAACATCGGATGCCACACACGAGTATAGAATATAAATGAAAATGCAAATAGAATGTCATCTAAACGAGTCTGGAATCTACGTGGTGAAGATTTACTATGAATCATTGCAATTTTTTAAATGTATTGAGCGATTTTGATTTGAACGCGATGTCAATAACCTTATAAGATATTTAAACATTATAATGTAAAGAAATAGTGTTAAATTGAGCAGTTTGTTGTGCCTTCAAACTGAAATAAAGTTCTTTTAATATCCGTAGCGCTGATATCGCTACCTTGATATCGCGCTGTACAAAGCATCAATATGGTAGAGTAGGTGTGGTGGTGAATGGTCTAGTGAATAAACATCTCGTTTCTGAATATCACCTTAAGACACAAAATAGATAAAATATTTTAAGCATAGAGGACTGATCTTACTTAAAAATCAAGACAAGTTGTTGATAAAACAGAATCAGATATGTGAGTAAATAACCTATAAAGGTTTGTAGGTCGGTGTGTTGGTGGGTACCATCACTGTCTTCTGTTTCTATCTAAGGCAATTTCGCCGGGAAATGAACTAAGACATCCTACGAACCTAAGGTGTCAGAGTCTGGTGGAACTGGTGAAGAATATTTCTTCTCGGGTAGTCAAAAGCTAAAGCCACCTTCGCACAACTGCGCCCCATATAGCAATCTAAAAACTCACGTGTGGGGTGAAATTAAAATCTTTACAACGGAAAGAGTCTTTTGCTATATATAGAAAGTGGTAAGCCGCAACCGTAACGATTTCAGGTCTTTGTCAACCGGTGCCAGAGACAGGTCCTGGGAATCTTCTGGCACGAGAAGATTCCTAAGGAACAACTACAACGGTGCTGGGAAACGCCAATCGACCATCAGACTGTCACAAGTGGAGATAGGTCGGACACACTCTTCGAAGGGAGCCAACAGTCTCAAGCTGGAACTTTCCAAGGAAAAAGAAAACGTGACCGCTCTAAATAATCCCGGCAGCGCTCAGTTGAGGTCGAGGCACGAGCCACGCACTTAACTCACGTGGCCCCAAGTTAGTTAAGTGTATGGCTCAAGAAAGAATACGACAGCGAAGCATTATGGACGGCCTTCTATCCCACTTAGGGCAAATTAAATTAGGTTCGTTTTAAATTGTAATTACAATGCGACTATAAAATCGGAGCGTATTGGCAGCCTGTATCCAATGAACTACGACATTCGATAGATTGTTAATTGCATAATTTGCCACGGGTTGTTTTTTACGTGTTTCTCATGCCTATAGGTTTCTGTGATCCTCGTACTTGTAAACTTAGTAGGTGTAGCATATTCGAAAATATTTATCCATTATTATCAATCACTTATCACAATATTATGTAAACAAGTACATATTTGTAAAATTAAGTAAAATGTCTACTTTAATGGCTTTTATCAAGCCTTATATGACTCCAAAGGTAATGAAACTGTCTGAGACTGATAGTGTAATGATTAAAATATGTACTTTAAAAGTTGATTAAGATAAAAATTGTGTGTTTCATTCTATAACTTGCTTAAGTGACTCCCACTACCCCCTTTTCCCCTATTTATAATTTGCATAGAAAATAATGAAACCAAATTATTTGTTTCTAATTAAGGTTGTTGTTTTCCCTAATATTATACTTAACCACAGATCGGGGTTAATAATTCAATATTCCTAAAACACATTACGCAAAGTTGTTGTGGTTTAAACATCATAAATTTTTCAAAGAATGTAAAAATTATTTTAAAATAAACTTACGTTGTCCTCATGGATTTAATTTGAATTAAAAAATATAAATATCGCTACAACTTCTAGGTCTTGGCCTCAGATTTCTGGGTCTATTTCATGATCGTTAATATAATAAATACATATTTTTAGGGGTGACTAACAAGAATTTTAGAATATTAGAATGCTATTTCGAAACAACCTTCGCACACTATGCCCAGGTGTCTGTTTTAAATACTGCGAAGTTTTGCAAACACGCGACATGCATTTTAAATAGTTTATATTAGCGATCTTATGGATCTTCAACTGGAATTGCACTGTGTATGAATCTACACATGCGCGTCTCCAGCAGAGTTAATAAAGATAATAGGAATGTTTATTTAAAGTAGCCCAGCCCTGTCAGTAAAGAATTTAGCTAAAGAGTTTTCCAACGGGGATTACGATAAAACCTTATTTCAAGATTAAAAACAAAAATATCAAAACAATCGCTTTTTACTTAATAACTATTACTAACTAACGGAATTCTTACAAACTAATTTGATTTAAAGCGAGAAATATAGATGATAACTTATTGCAAAACAAAGCTCTGCGAAATTGTAAATTATGATTAAAAATTCGCATAATTAACTTAACCACACCTATCTTTTTTATATTGATGTTCATAAGTTACCAATATAATGTATAAAAATATAAATTAGCAAGAATTATGTAATTATTATTATGAATTATGGAATATATGAGAAAATAAATAAATTATGAATTATTATCATTGTGTTTTTAGACTCTTCTTAGAGCTTATTACTGGATCCCAGGACTAGCACAGCTGCAGAGTCGTTTGCAACTTCTTTGCAGCGGTCCTGTTGGTGGTTTTAGTAGGTAGGTATAGCTCCAGGTTTTTTGTCGAGTAAGGAGTAAGTCGACTCCCACATAGTACTGCTTTTAGTAAGGGGGATGCGTACACGCACCTGGGTTGAAAAAAGGACTCAGTACCAGAGATGACCTTAGTTTTATAGCTGAAACAAATGTTTTCTGCTTCGAATTGTTATATGGTCTTTTTTAATATTTCATTTGCGCTTAATCACTTACTGAATAATTTGTTAAAATATTGTCCGTGGCATATATAGTTTTAACATCTTCGTTCATGTTAACTAGAGAATGTTATGTTGTTGAGAATGCGTTGAATGCTCAAGGATTCGGGTTCATGTGAATTAGTTCTAGTTTGTTAAACTCAAATATGAATTTCAACAAAAAATTTATATTGTATGTAGTCGTTTAATAATGGCAAGTATATAACACTTCTTAAAGAAATAATACGATGTTTCCTGCGTTCCACAAAACATTACCTACCTATAATAATGAGCCAAAATCAATAAAAAATAAAATACTAATAAAATTGTATGTTAATATTGTTTTAAACGAAATATTATAGTTCAAGGCCCGCAAGTCGTCAATCGCTACTGTTTAAACCTCTTAAGGCTTTAAAGGTTACTTCAGAGGTGGCTAAACAAGGTGAACGATCTAAATGTGACAGTAGCATGAGCAAAATGTATTATATATAGGGATGCCACTTACTTGTATGTTATAAAGTGACAAGTATAAACTTAATTTCACTACTACCGCTTTATTCCTAAATTCTATTAACCGCTTTCAGAACGTTTTGTCACCTAAATTTGACAGTAATTCAAAAATGCCTCATTTCATACTTGTTTTAAAGATTATAGACAATATATTATAGGGGAGAACAGTTTAAAAATTCGGACAAAAAGTAAATTGTTAATAAAATTTAAGAAATTTCGGCATACGCATGAAACATCCTTATTTTCTTCCAGTCTTATTCATAAACTTAGCTATAGACCTAATGATATATTTTTATACGACTAATTAAGATAAATGTTTTAAGTACATGCACCTGATTAATGAGCTGTTTATAGGTTTAATAACCTTCCTAAAAGTCGATAAAACAAACGTTTTCCGCACTAACTAAACCACGATACGTTTCCATCCTAACGTAAGAGTGGAGATATATTGCTTTATATTCAAATTTAATAATAGTAAAATGTAATTATCACTTTGTAATTCCTGTTTACATCGTTTAAAATGATCTATGATCTCAAATGTAAATGTTATTTTCTCATAGCTCGAATATAGATAAATGAACATTGTATAGAACTTTGCTTTAAACCATTAATCATTCTGACATATTTAAGAGACTGTGTTTGACTAGACTAATGCTTCTGTGAGCGAATATAGTACTTTTATATCTCTTATGATTATTGCATTAGCCCTATGCATTGCCTACAAATAACTCACGTACGCGTTATCAACAACCCACGCGGTGACTAAAGCGCGGAGATCGTTTCCTGCGGTCCTACGTTGTCGCAATTATAATAAGCTCGCACGACAGTATATAGAACTATTATATAGATAAATTTCTTCAAGACATGACATGTTTTATACGTGAATTGTGTTCTTCACACGGAATATAGTATAGGAAAGAGTGAAACCGTTTCACAACTGAAACTTTGGAAGTATGCTTTAAGCTATGTTTTTAAACGACAACCGAAGGAGGTCATGTAATTTTTATTGAATTTCAACGTATATTTTTTTTTAATATTGGACAAGATTTTTATGTTTGAACCGTCATGCCAGATTGGGTACGGGGCAAAGTTAGGCTTACCAATTCAGAAATCGAATTCAGTACAGATTTAGCCACCAGAGTTTGATTTTATTCTGAATACTTTTTTAGGGCTTTCCATAAAATATACTACACATAAACAACAGGCATCAGTATTGACTTCAACTTTACTTTGATTTATTACATTTTAAAAGGTCGCTATTATATATTTAACTCTGTCTTAGGTATTACAATTCATATTATCTCTTTGTGTTGTCGTTAAGCAACACAAAGAAACAATAATTTCCCATTTCTAGATTTAATTTGGTTAACATCGAAAGATCCCTGTGAAAAGGTTTCATATATATCAATTCTACCTTGTAAGTTATATAGACATATAAGTTCTGTACGATATTAAACACTATGTTTTATTCAAACTGTAACATTGGTCATACTAAAATAATGTCTGGTATACATTGCTCTTGTTTTCCTAACAACACCTACACCTTTCATTTAGATTTATGTTTAACGATCTTAGTCATCAGTCGAACCTCATTCAATTATATATCTAAAATCCTATTTAAAGTATGTTTAGTAAATTTGAAATTTGCTGCTTTCGACTTTCGACGATTTGCTTTTTTGGTGGTTATGCCATACTTTTACATTATAATACGCAGTGCAATAGTGGTCGGAGCAATGGAGCTACTGTCAACTGCCATTGTCATTATGTCAAAGAGCGAATAATTTTCGATAATTATAGTGAGTTCATGGTAAAACAGCTAAAATTAAAAAAAAGCCAAATATGGACGCATTACAATACGCAATATATACAAAAAGGTTATATTGCGTATTGTAAAAATATTTAAAACTTAGAGGAAAAAAACTATAAAATCATCAGAAGAACTCGCGACATCTTTTACAAATTAAATGAGCATATTCCCTTTGTCTTATCAAAACGATCTACTATCTCTATATCTGTGGAGTTTCTCTCATGACTTAAACCCGCAAACTCCATATAAGCGCTAATTGATATGTTAGTTCCAACAAGGACAATAAAATGTAGTTAAATAAAATGATTAGAATTTTAATGGTGCCGCGTTGATTGATGACCTTTAATGAGCCTATCTTGATTATATTAATATTATTTACTATAATAACGTGAAATTTATAAGCCCATTTTGTAGAATAGTGGACTGTAGATGTAAGAAGCGGAACTTTAGAATCTGAGCTAGTATTATAGAGAAAATATTAGTTCTTTTTTTTAATTTTATTTTTTTATAGAACGGTGGGCAAACGGGCAGGAGGCTCACCTGATGTTAAGTGATACCGCCGCCCATGGACACTCTCAATGCCAGAGGGCTCGCGAGTGCGTTGCCGGCCTTTTAAGAATTGGTACGCTCTTTTCTTGAAGGACCCTAAGTCGAATTGGTTCGGAAATACTTCAGTGGGCAGCTGATTCCACATAGTGGTGGTATAAGGTGTTTAATAAGGTGCAATGACTATATTTGAGTTTTCTAGTTCCATGTTATATTATGCTTTGTAATCGAATGTGGCGTGAGCAGTGAAAACTATCCGAATGTTATCTTCTTCTTATATTATGGTAGTGTTTCGGGTTTTGACAGTTTGACATAAACTAAGAAATTATTTCCGGAAATTTCACTCTAAAACTCTGTTAGAAATTGGCATTAAAGAGCCCTTTTTATTTTTGAAATATATATAAACAAAAAAAATATATCTGGTGCAAACTAAAATAACGTCTCTTCTAAGTAGTCTGTGATACTGATTTAAGGAAGGATTCAGAAACAAGACATCGCCAATTTTGTTTTAATATCACCCATCGTCAGTATTCGCGGGAACATGTTTTGGCATTTTATTGTCTGATTTTGAAATTGGCGGCCTTACATTGTCATTGTCATTCCGATTTTTCAAGATGGCGGCCCTTCTTCCTATTGCCGTCAATGTCACCTGATTCTTTGACACGCTATAGCTATATTAAAAAGAAATTTAAAAGAATTGTGTAATATGTCGCTGTTATAAATAGTTTGTCCATTAAGTAGATAATTGTGAATACATTATGTATTTAGAGCGGACCAATTAAAATATAAATGGTATAATCGAATGTGGAAAGTTGTCAAATCAGAGCAATTATGAAATTTTATGCTCTTTTAAGTAAATTTCCAATTCAAGAAGGTTAACAGGCTCCATAGTTCGTTATAACTAGTAATTAATTATTATTCATTGCTTACTTATCTATATTTTAATCAACGATTTAATGCAAAATATATAACTTATATATTGAATTTTGTTTTTTTTTATTATTTATAAAAAATTTTCATGAAGTTCCCCTTAAACACACAAGGGACCTTAGGGTCACAAGGATACCCATTTCTTCGTCCGTCTTATATATGAACACAATAACTGTTTCGTCGAGAATGCAACAGTGGACCTTTGATTTGGCGTACAGAGAAGGTGGTGCGCGCATGTTACTAACGCTTTTGCAAAATTATCAATAATTTATTCATAAAGTCAAAAACGTTATCAGTCCAAGGGATCCAGGGAGAGAATGCACCGGTTCTTATTTATCATAAATTCAATGACGCTGTTAAGTCAGTGACATTTACCGATTCTGGACTATTTACTCTCCATGAAAATTTCTTTATGACTTTGTCCCCTGACTAATCTGTACCAAAAACTACAGAAGTCTGATCAAAGATGGATGCTTTCATAATTCCTCCGTTAATCTTAAGCTGTTCTTGAACTTATTGTCGTTTATTATGCGTTTTCTTCATTCATTATGACCTTATAAGTGGAGGTGCGATAATTCTATGTACAAATATTGTGTAACAATCATTATGTTTGTCTATATTGTACGTGAGGTGAACATTTGTTTTGTCTATGGACAGATGACTTGTTTACATAACCTACCTCTCAGACAAACGGTCGCGAAGTATACACTTAAATGTAGCCATGCCGTATAAGCTGAACATAGATTAACAAGAGTTAAAATCAGATAGAAAGCTTTTCAGACAGAAAAATCAGCAGACACAAAATAACACCTAACAAATCTACCCTTTTTGGATATGTAATTTTTAATAGGAGATATAATCATTTGTGAGGATTTATTTTCGACCCACTTAATAGACCGATTTTTCTTTATCTTCTGTTATGCTAGTATCCAATGATATATGACGACAAACTTGTATAGACCTTATTTGTATTAGATTTTGGTTACCACCTTCGCAATTTATTTTAATACTATTAAATATTGTTAATAAAGTCATTTATTGTGAATTATATCCCTCTGTGTAAATTAAAAAAGTAATGTAAAAGCACTTAGTTGATTTACAATTGTAAACACTTTACTTCCGAAATATACCGGGCGTGTAGTCGATTCGATACGTTCGGTATTTATCGGCGACCAAATTATTTTTCTGGCGTTTCTGGTTGTCTGCTGGATAGGCATGTGCACTAAATTTCCAGAACGACCGTATTTCGGCGCTCTGCATCCAACGCCTTCCCTCCAGCCTAA